AATTGTGTAGCGTAGTATATTAAAAAAAGTATTGTTTTTTTTTCACCAATGGCATGGCAATTCAAATAGCTTGAGTTTAAAGTCACGCAACCCTGCAACCTTTGTAATGATGCATACGATATTAATATGAACAATTATATTACATAATATTAGTTTCTCATGCAAAATATTAAGGACAGACTGAATTTATGAAAATAATAACGCGAGTACCTAAAAAAGTGTAGTCCACAACTAAATCATACCCTGTGAATTAACCTCGAATTTCTTTGTAAAACATTCAACCTCTTTGATAGCACAACAAGGTTTTATACCGACAAGAATGTCTAACTGGCCACTTGCATTCGACGCCGTGGAAAAAAGATAAGAAGAAGAAACAATCGGGCATCACCAAGGCAAGGTTAAGAAAGTAGTTAATTTCTGGAAGAGCGAGTTAATAATGCTGATAAATACTAATTGAGGATGCAGTTATTTTTTAAGTGATGTCGATTTTTCAATAGAAATTGAACTAAACATACTCGATATAAAACACCTTAATAAATTAGAATTAATTCGACTGACGATGAACCCATTGCGGTTTAGTGGTTAACCACAATATTGTATCTTTTTGATATTTTTCTTAAATATTTACTTTAGTACATTGTTGTTACTAATTAAACAATAGAATATAAAAATAGTATTAATGGACTAATTAAACAAAGCGATACGTTTATGCCACCATAGAATAGTGCCCTTGACAGTAAATCATTGCTCATTAGGTCATCACGGATGCCTTGTATACCACGAAGTATGTATGTGTTGTGCTTAGTTGTAGTGCCAGTTCAGGTAAAAACGCGTCAAGAAATATTCACTGAATTCTTCACTTAAAACTAGTGTCACGATAACTAAGTATACATGTATGTTGACTCGAAATGCCAACATTAAAGTACATTTTAATAGAAAATGTTCAACAATTTTATATGCGCATAATAATAGCGTTACGTCGTCGTCTCTGCGCGCGTATTAGCATTATCTGTGCGATTGTGATGTGTAAACAAAACATCTGTTTTATTGACGTTGTATGAAACTCTTAAAACTCTTAAGGCGATGTTCGAGAGCAAATCCTTTTGATGCAAAACAGCGCGGCCCTGCGCGGCGACGATTCGTTCCGCAACGATAAGGAGATTATTGGGTCGTGCCGCAAAACGGTTGTATTTTTGTTTCTATTTTGGTTTAAAGGTAAATGCGGTGACTTAAATAAACCCATGCAGCTTTACCTGCCCAAAGAAGCGTTCCCTCGCAGCCGCCATGCTCTCGTTGCGGGGCCCATCGTGTTCGTCCGTGGTTCCTGCTGCCTGACTCTCCGCTTCCTGCGTTGCGGGCGCTGGTAGGGTCGTTTGCGCCAGCGCCGCGGCCGGCGCGGGCCGGTCGGAGGCCTCCTCCGCCACGATTACCACTTTATGCACTCCTCTGTCCCCCTTATCACCACTTAAACCGTTAGTCTTATCACTAGAATTCTTCGGCGGCTTTTCGTTTCTGCCCTGGCTCTTCGGCTTCTTGGGCTGTTTGTTTTCGTCGAAGCGATCGCTGGCGCAGCACTGCACATTACCCATGTCGAGGCGCGAGCATGTCGCGGTCGCTCGGTCGGTCGTCGGTCGTTCGAGGCGCGTCGGCGTCGGCGCCGGCCCGCGGAATGAGCTCGCGCGGCGGTGCCCCGGCGTCGCGGCGCCCACCCGGCACGATATTTTCGACGTGAACTTCCGAAACGCGCTGACCGCCGATTACGCGGATGCCGTCCGCGAAGGATCTCACCCGAAAGCCGGGCCGCGCGCCGTCCGCGCTGGCGTCATCGCGCCCGCTCCCCGCCGCCCGCCGCCCGCGACTCCGACTCCGCGCGCCGCAAGGTCAGGGCGCGCTCATTGTTCCCGCCGCTGGCCGCTGACTCCGGCGGCCCGCGTACTGTTTGCTTCTGCTCAGCTCCGGGTGGCCGCAGCCGTGGCAAGTACAGCAGTGGTGGTCCCCGGCTCCGTGGCGCCGCGACGCTATCGATCACTCAATGTTTGTGTCTCGCTGCCACGGAAACGGGCTCGTTACAGGTGGCAACCGGATATTTACAATACAAAATAATTATTAATGCGTAAACACGGCGTAGCGTAAACGTAAAACGAGGAAACTGTTCGTTAGATCGACGTGGTGGCTCCGCCTCGGAGTGTTATCGTACTCCGCGCCGCCCGCCGCCGCCGCGCCGGTCTCAGTCGGAGGCTGATAGCGGTGCATGTCGCCTAGTGCGACACATTGAATACAAAACATAACATTTATTCCATTATGTTTATAAACTCAGTCACGTCAATAATAATTAAATGCAAAAAAACCACACAAACTTCACATTTACAATTAAGACTATCAAAACGTTATTACAAAATTATCTTCGCTTCTTTTTAAACAAGCGAAAAAACACATGTTTTTAATTAAGCGGTCAAGGCAAATTTAATTACGTGTGGGCAAATATATCTTTATCTTTTATTCTGAATGTCTGATAATTGCTAATAGAAGTTCCTATACACGCGTAAATGTGCGTCATGAAAGATGATTCAATGACTATTATTGTATGATATATCGAGACAAACAGATTACCTGACCTATAAAATATATCATATAAAAGTTGTATTTTATCACATTTTATTTGTATAAAAATTATTACAAATTATAAGATCCTCGTATAAAGAAAATTTAAATTCTGTTACACGACCCATGGTCGAAATTGAACGAGTAAACTGAAATACCTAATGAATTCATTATGGTAGTTAGAAGTGTACTCACGTCCCAAGGGTACCGTCTGCATGCTCCAAAGCAATGTCTTTGTTAACGATAATAATTATGTTATATTCTATATTTACTAATATAACACAGTTCAAGTTTGTTCGAATGTTTGTTTGCATTACCTTTAAGGTTTAAATATTCATTTGATTATAAATATAATTAACTGCGATCTTCCGGTATTGAAACAGTTAGAAAATTCTCGTTAACTCCTTTTTTTCAAACAAACTGAAAGCCAGTTCAGGCTATTTAGTGCGATGAATTTAGGCTATATTTTAGAACTATATTCTTGTTGATTCCTTCTGTATAATTTTCTTTTAAATACTCTACAAACTTTAGAAGTGGCATAAAAGAGAATGCTTAGTTCAAAAGCGAGTAAACCTACATGCAGAGCTAGTGTTGTGCGCACACTTGGCAGTGCTCGTGTAGCCAGACTACTTTACGGAACAGATATTTGATAGACAACGCTATGGTTAAAAATAAATGCAAAACAAACCAGGCATAGTTCCTCAATGACGTGTGCCGCGGATTTATTGAGTGTTTCTAGCTCGAAAAACATAATATTTTACATCATTTTTATTTTAACACCTTTCTTTACTAAATAGTAAACGCGAATACCCGAACCATCTGTTAAATAAATTTAATTGATGGAAGAATTTAAATAATGCAAATAGTTAAGCTGGAAACTTTTAAAACGGCATATTGTACTAAATTCTTCCGAACTGCTTCAATTTAAATACAAAAAATCTAAAACTTTTCCTGGAAGTTTTAGTGAAATCTGTTCGAAATGGAACGTTGAATAAAACAAATAGTGAATCGCAGATGTTAGAGTTTTATTCTGATGGTATTGCATGGCGGAGTATTGCGGTCAGATTTCGTAACGGATGGGCCACGCTCGCTCGCGACGGTGTAACTGGGGCACGTCGGGCTCTGAGCTTTTAATGCTTTCCTCGCCGCCTCTTACACCGTAACGTAATAATAACCTTTTGACTGTGGGTACGGCTTTATAATTAGAGGCTTTGGAACATACTTGATGGATAGGAGTGCATATATTTACATGTTTTGCACTTTAACATAAAGTTTAACCGATTACGAAAGTTTCAACGTTTTTGTAATTCAAAAGATTGATGACATGATAGACTAAAATCACGACATCTCTAGTATAGTGTAGATTTCATTTTAGTTCATACCTTTATGGATTCAGTAAGGTCTGGAAATTCGGTAATATTTAACGGTAGAGCATCGTGACAGTTTCGGTGTGTAGGAGGGTCTTTCTAAAGTCGTCTTCGAATTAGGACAATAAGACTTCGCCGCTGATTTTACACACGATGTTTATTTACGTTGGATTCATTAAAAGAAGGAAGGAGTTTTAATATCAATCTTATTTGATTACACGCTTTGTTGTTTAATTATATAAAGAATTTGAAATGCTTTCATTCATTCAGAAGAAATTAGCATAAAACTTTTTATATCATGGACGATAATGTTAATGGATTTGTTAGAGATGAAAGATTTTCTTGTAATAAAGACAGAGACATAAATATATGACAGAAGTTAGTACTGAAAATAAATAATTCTCATCAAAATCAACTAATACAAATATTCTTTATTGTTACTAATCAAAAATTACCTTTTATTTGAATAACCTATTGTCGAAATAAAGAAGTAATTTTACTATTAGAAACATTTATAAAATTAAACTTTATTATCTGTGCGTCTCTGTATCCAGTTTCATAGATAAAATCATAATGTAAACCTGACAGCTTTATTGACCTCTATAAATTGATTAATTACAGTGTTGATGGTTTTTGCCGCTAGATGTCGTGTTAGTGGGCGGATGACCTAGCTAATTATCATCAGCATCTTCCTACATCCGTGGGAACTCATTAACTGTGGTAATTGTAGGGTTTATTAACTAAGAAACATATGGAAGATAGCTCTAGTCTGAATTTACAATTGTGCCAAAAGTTTAAATTGGCAGTTTAATAAAGTTAAGCTAAACGTTACTTCAATGCAAATAAATTTAGAATGTCTTTGCTATACATGAAAAGGGATGAGCCCATAGACATCCAAGCTGTTGTCAATCGGCTCTTACATGCAAGTCGTGTCAAACAGTATGTTGCTTGTAACAACCAAGTCAAACATCGTTTGATAAATTTTGATGACTTTAGACCAATTTAAGACACTTAAATATTTTGACGAAATGACTAAATAGTTTCAAAGGTCTTTTCTACTTGTCTCCATTCGACCATAAACTGGTGACCAAGACTATATTCGTTTATCGCGATAACGAAGAGAAATAACTCCTAAAGTTGTTTAATATGATAAGGAACAGGCCGTCTGGAAAATGTCGGTGCGGATTTGATCAACTTAAATTTTTGTGTCGTCAAAATTATTTCAATTTACCATTACGTGGGACGTTGCGTTTGTTCACTAGACTAACAGTAATGCTCAATTATAGATGACAGAAATTATATTTATGATTGGTGATTACGACAATTGTATCATATTGTTCAGGTACAAGCTTGGCTTTAAATTGCAGACAAACATCTTTGCCGCTGATGTTACCAGATTGAAAATATAAGCAACAGTGGTAGAGCCCGCTTTAACATCTTCGCACGAATTGGCCCGGCTCGCCCGGTGAAATACCACGACCACACAGAAGACAGGCGTGAAGTGGAAGCAATTCCGCGTTTCGTCTGATGAGTGTGCGTCCCGGAGGCCTTATATAGTCCTCTTTCCCTTCCCATCCTCTTTCTTATAAGGAAAGGATGGGAAGTGGAAGTGGACTTTCTGGATGAGAGGATGCATGGAAAGGGAAAATATTTTCTTTCTGTGCATCCTCTCCTCCGTCGATTTAAGGTAAGCAACGCATATGCAATTGCATATGTCTATGGGCAACGGTCACTTCGCTATTTCAGCGATTTCAGGTGGCCGCTCGCTCGTTTGCCACCTTATGATATAAAAAAAAAATAAAAGCAACGATTAAAAAAATCTATATTTTGATAGATGCGTGGCTTGTATATGAGCCTATCTTTCACCATCAGGTTAGTAGAGATAGTGTAAGGTATAACATTACCTCCTCGTTGTCACTTTCCTCGGCAGTGGCAATTGCGATTTCTGCATCTAAATGTTGCTCAGCGCAGTCCAACTGCTTTTCCAGTTCTATAGCTTCAACTTCTATTGATGGTGATCTTCTAAGCTCTTCTATACCCAACGAGTGGTCCCGTTCAGAACGCACGGCACGAGGACTCGGCATTTTCAACACCAAAGGTCGAAAGTTTAGGAGATTAGTCGCTGGAATAAGGAAAACAGGAGCTTTTTATTTTACATACAAATAAGATTTACACCTCTAACTACATAATTACACAAAGGGAAGGCGATTAGTTTGAGAAACTACACTTGACGAATGCCACATTAAATAAATATCCGAACGGAACGAAATACTTTTCTTTATTATCAACCACTGCATATACATTTACGAAAAATTCTATAATATTGACTGTTAATAAGTTTATAATTTAATTTGAAGACTTTAAATGTTAAATTTAATAGTAACTTAGATACAATACATAGCCCTCATTTAAAAGGTTGTTCAAATTTATTTGCATAACAAGTACGACACTTGTCGGCCTTGTTTATAGATTAGTACTAAGTAGGATGTGAGTTTAATAATGGTTATAAGTTACCTTTGTTTTCGTCTCTACTTCTATGTTTCCGTTTAGATTGACGAGAAGTTTGTATTTTTTGAATGGTGCGTGGTGAAATTGGTTTCATTGCGATTTTTTGAATACCACTGCCGGGTAGAAGTGTGGCAACTACTTTTTTAGGTTCATTAATTTCAGGGTTCTTAGTGTAAGCTCCAAAAGTGATGTCATCCGGTTCTGCGTCGATATCAATAAAACTTTCTTCAAAAAGCTCGTAGTTATCCAAATCAGAATCGAACTCACTTTTAGAACACTCGGGCTTAGATATCAGACTAGTCGTATCTGAATTGCGTCGGTAGAACACTTGTTTAGAATCAGGAGACGAGAAACTACGCATCACATTTCCTTTATTTTCAACTTCACTGTTTTTTCCAGGCGATGAATAACTTCTAGGAAGTTGACTCTTCTTTACGTTTTGCATTTTACGTTGTTGATGCTGTTGTATCCTCGTTGAAATCAAACTTCTTCCTCGATTCGTAGTTGTAGTAAGATGTTGCTCCTTACGACGCATGACTCAATGAACTGTTTGCTTTCACGTGTTGGTCTCTTTGGACACGGGATGTGACTGCAAGAGGGAATCGATGTGTAACATGTTACATTACTGTATGCGTGTTTATTCATATCAGATCATTTACCAATATCAGATGACGAGGCCGGCCTAGCGAATTGAAATCCAATATGATAAGCAACAGTGAACATGACCAACTTAAACTTGATGTTAGAAAAATCTGTACGCACCTGATAAAGTACCATAATTTCATATTATTACTATATATATGAAAAAAAGATAGCAAGGGAATTTAATGAAACTAAATTTAAGAAACTCCAATTTAACCTTACGCAAAACGTACGGAAAATAAAAACAAAGTTTAACAGACACGTGGTCTATAGTAGTAACAAATTAGTAGTAAGCTATAATTTAGCTTTACAATACAACTGCTTAGGAGGAGGCGTTGTTAAAGGCGTATCGTAGGCGAACAACTTTCTCTTATATGGAACCTTGTCGATATCAATTTTGTGACATTAAGAATTTTTTTAAAAACAAATTAAGCAACTTCAGACGAGATTGCGAGATGTGATGCATTTTTAAATCTCGATTGACGAGTTATTTAAGAAAATATCGTTTCAGTACATACGTATTAAACGAGTTCAGTTCTTTTGAATGGTTTCTTAAACAGGTAATGTGGTGCAGTAATAAAAGAGAATGTAAGAGTAACTTTCGATTCGCAAAGTGTCGCAGCGTTACAAAATTAATTGTTGACGAATTCTTATTACTAGCGGAAGTAAAGTTTGTTTGTGTTTGCAAAAACGTATGTGATAGTTGTGTTAAAGAAAAAAATCTAATGAAGTAAATGTGAGTGAGTAAAGTGTTATTTTTAAACTGAATAAACAAAATGAGCTAAAGTGGGAAAAGAAAAAAAGCAAACTTTGCAACGTTGAGATCCATAGTTCGTTTACAAGGCCAATCATTTGTGTTATATAAAAATATTGTTGTGTTTTCTAAATATCTGTCAAAAAACTTATATAATTTATAAATTCATAAAATGTGGAATTTTCCATATATTTAGCTTTATAAATGGATGTTAAAGTCTGTTCATTTTAATGTCCAGCAATCGTTTATTTTTATCAACCATCGTCTGCAAAATATTTGGACTTAATGAAAAAAAAAATTTTGTAAAGTGCCACTAGATTGTTGTTACTACAAAAGTTAAATTCATTTACAAGTACCTCAATAGATGGAGTCATATCCAAATAACATAATTGTTTTCCACGTGGACCAATAGATGGCAACACTTGGATGGCAACACTTGGATGGCAACCTTCAACTTTGAGATACTTAATTTTGTTTTCATTCTTTCTTGAAAATAATCTATCTGTGTATAAATTTTATGATATGAATATGACCATTACTTTATGGCCATTTCATGTAGTTGTTGTAAAACTTTTCTTAACGTCAATGTAGTCATTGATTTGACTAGTCATTCGTGAACTCTTTTAGTCTATCTGAACCTATCATAATCATTATAAGACATTTCTTTGACTACATTATAAAAGATATATAAATAATATATTTTAGTGTAAGGTTATGTCTGTTTTCGCATTACGTACTCGTATGTTAAGTTATTTAATTACGATTGCACTGTGCCATTACGCACGGATCTAAGTTCAGGGTTGGCAATTGTTTTTTATTTTTAATTTCACAAATGATCTACTATATTTATGTCACTTATATAGTACTTTATGCCAATTTTTTAAACGGTTTAAATTGCTTTAACGAAATAACACGACATAGTTAATTTTATATTTAAATTGACTTTGACTCTCAATCTATAAAGTTACTGATATAGTTACACTAAATGCGCATTTTTAAGTCGCATTTTACAAACATATACTATAAAACAAACGTATACTGTTGACTAGACTAAATAACTTATCGACCAAGACTCACTTTGGGACGCTGCGTTAGCGCAGAAGATCGATCGATCGAGAAGAACGGTCTGTGACCACCTACTGAAATTAAAATATTTGTTAACAAATGGCAGTACAAAACTGGGTCATTAGGTAACTTGGCCAACATTGAATGTTTGTTGACAACCCTAAGCGGCTAAGCACGCAATCTTTCCCCGGCAAGTCAAGTTAGACGAGAAGCACGCTAGTCAGTCAGACAGCGTGAGTCTCGCTTGCCGAACTTTCTTGTGCTGTTGTGTTTGAAATTACTTAATATTGCGTGGTAAGTTTATGTTCAATTTAAATTTAAATTAGGAAAATAACTGACAATACTCTGAATTGTATTTGTTGTTTTTATACGACTGTAACTAACGACGTTTTATTTGTTTATATTGAATACATATGAAAAAGTATTTGATAAATATTGTCGTGATATTTTTACTTTTAGACGAATTGTTAATTTATCTGCTATCGTAGAATGAGTTTCCCTTTAGTATTTGTTATATTAAGTAATATTTTCGTTGGTTTCGTCATAAAATATCATCTAATTTTTTGTAATTTATTTAAAAAAAATTGCTCAAAACCTGTTGCTCGTAACGTTATAAAAACTAAAAATAAATAGTTAAATGGCAGTTTTTATTAGCATTTATTATATCACTATGGAAATCGAATCATCTCTGTCAAAACATAGCAACATTAAGAAAAGTTATTTTGAATTCTTAAGTTGTTAAGTTCACAAAATCTTCCTCGGAAGCCTTCATTTGATGATTTTCTTTTACTGCCTACTTAAATAAATTTATTTCTTGTTTTTAATTATTTATATTAGTGTACACTACGTTTTAGTTTTATGTAACGATAAATTACCTTATGTACTACTATAACTTTATTGCGTTTCTTTTATTTAGTAACGGTTTGTGAAATTGATCTTTTTTATTATCTAACTGTTTGTCTCGTGTTTTGTTCTATGTTATAAAACATAATAATTTAGCTTTTTTAACTATATTTCCTTCTCTTCTTACAACATTTTCAGTACTTTTACTAAAAATATTGTACATTATTATAGTTATTTGTTTTTTGTGGAATTATTCCAATGCTTTTTGTGGATATTAATCACAGATAGTCGCATGAAACAGCTAATACAAGCAAATGTGAAACAAACTAAGCATTATCTACTTCGGATATTTGTCTTTGTGTTCGTTTGTACGCAATCCTTTAAGGTATATTTATTTATTAACATTTGCTTTACATAAATATATTTTTCCGCTCTTCTTGAAACTTTGTGAAGGTGAATTATGAGATGAAACATCTACTTCTTTTAAAAAATTACTACAGACGTCTTTGAAATACTTCACAACGCACTTAAAAGCTTTTAAACTTACTTTTGCCCGGACCATTTTGTGATGATAGCGTTTTGTCACCTCCGCAAACGTTAGGTTGATAGCTAAATAATGATATATTTTGGATATGATTGAGGAATTACAAAAAAAAATTATGTTCTACATGTGTGCCAAATTTCATCAAAATCTGTTAATAAGTTCCGGAGATACCTCCAAACAAACATCCATCCATCCAAATATTCGCGTTTTTAATATTATTAGGATATTCCAAAACAAATGACCTTTAAATGGGCATCCCATTACGATTGTAATGTTCTGCATTACCGTCGAGATTATTTGTTAATAGAACTTTTTGTTTTATTACTTTGATTCTTCCTCTGTAATTATTATTCTTAGATATTCAAGGTTAAACTCGATTGAGATGCAACGTACTTAGGTCACGCGTATCATACTGGTTTTGAAGACTAACAATGCATTAAAATTTTCCTTCAATTATTGTATTTTAAAATTTTATGATTTTGAATTTTATTTTTTGAAATCTTGTAAATACGTAAGATATCTTTTCTGATCTAATTCATTAGTAATTGTTAATTTAAGCCTTAAGTAAAGTATAATAAGTTATGCAATGTTTGAAACAAAAAAACATCCGGTTGAAACGGAGCGTTAACTTTCACTGTCCGGTGCGCAAGTTCTCTATGACTTATATACAATTGTTTTCTAATAATATAGTTACGTCTCCTCTTACTTAAATATTATTGAAGTTATGTTTAGTTAAATAAGAATACTAGAAAAATTTCAAGAAATATCTTGGTTACAACAAGCCTACTTTTTAGGGTTCCGTACCTCATAGGAAAAAAAACGAAACCCTTATAGGATCAATTTGGTGTCCGTCCGTCCGTCTGTCAAGACCCTTTTTACCAGTGAAATAGACAATTTTGTAACATACAAAAATTTAAAAAAATATGAGATGATAATTGGACTGATCACAATATGTTCTGTATAAAACTAATAATTCGGATGTAGAAACCCATCTTGTTGATGTGCCTCTCAGACTAACGAAGGTAGAATAGAAACTCATAGCAATATGTAAAAAATCTTACATTACAAGAATACTAGGCATATTGAACTAAACCTCATATGTCATGTCACAACAATTTTGCGTAAGATAGTTACGAAATAAAATGCCTTATGCGGTTAGCGGAACCAGTTTGTAATAGTACGCTACTCGTATTTTTGTAATAAATCCTTGTGTTTTCTTCAAAAGGGAAATCCAAGATGCGTATAAAAGTTATATTGAATATTAGACATTAAAATTATACATTTAAGTTTAAAATACGCCCTTTAAACAATCAAAATTTGATCAAGCAATCAAATCTCAAAAGATAGTAAACCGTAACCAAGTGAGCTATATTTTTATTAAAGCTGTCACCCACGACTTCGTCCGCGCGTAATAAAAAAACTGAATAGGTAGCTTATGTGTTCTTCCAGGCTATGTTCTACATACATGCCAAATTTCATCGAGTCCCCGTTGATCCGTTCTGGAGATACCTTCAAACAAACATCCATCTATCCATCCATTCATCTAAACATTTGCATTTATAATATTAGCGAGATATAATATTAGTAAGGAAGTAAGATTAGTATGAAGTTGTTCTTTCATCGTATTTTATAAATGAAAGAACTCAAGGTCACGTGGAGTAGGTCAAAAAGTAAAATACTCGTAAAATTTGTACGAATACCCCCATTTTCCTATAACATTATATCATCACATTTCATTGCTATTGCGTAAAATACTTCGCATGTGTATTTCAGATTGCACATAACATCGACACGCGTGTTTAAGTACTCTATTTTTAGTGACCGAGTGAAACATTTCCATTACACGATTGTTATCATCATAACAGTTTACATTAAAGATAAAAACAAAACTAGACAAAACCTAATATTACATTATTAGGTCACTACTTTCTTTGGTTCCGTATAATTGGTGTTGTTTTAGAGACCTTAGGAATATCTAATGTTCAAACCCTAAATAACCTATACTATTTATCTTTCTCAGTCCGAGGCAACATGAATTCAGAAGTAAACGAATGGTATAAAGGGCGAAATGTCCTCGTCACAGGAGCGTCAGGGCTTATGGGGAAGGTTCTCATTGAGAAGATGCTATACAGCGTGCCCGATATAGGCTGTGTGTACGCACTGGTACGCTCCAAGCGAGGCAAGACACCGGAATCACGGATCGAAGATATGTGGAAACTACCGGTTTGTTAACCAATTTTTATGTTTGCTTAGTGCCATTAAATAGAAAAATAAAACCAAGAAATGTTAGTTTAAATTGCAAAAATGGGTCCAGTTAAGGGTCCAAAGTAATTTTGTCTGTGCCATTGTTTCGTAATTTTAGAGTTCGTAATTATTGAAATTTAATTTCCAGCTGTTCTCAAGGATAAGAGAAGAGAAACCACATATGATGAAGAAACTCATTCCCGTGTCTGGTGATATCATGTACGACAATTTAGGAATTGATCCTAAAGTGTTGGAACAGATTTATGATGAGGTATGTGAAATTTTTTATATTAGTATAACCTAGATTTTATATATATTCTATCAGATATTGTATGTTGTATTACTACCGTTTTTTGTATGGTTAATGAATTAACAGGTGATATTGAGGCAGTTCTAATGGTAACGTAACACCTATTGAGAAATACGAGTTAAAGTGAAAGCTGTTATAGACTTGTGGTAGCTTGTGGCCATTATTTAGGCCTCTGTGGTTAGAACTAAGGAACTTTGTTACTTATACGTAAAATGTAAAGTTGCTTACAGTATATATATTATACTATGGAGTATGGAAACATTTTATTTATTAAATTGGTGTTAAATGTTCCAGGTATCGGTGGTGTTTCACTTTGCGGCCAGCCTTCGCCTCGAGGCGCCACTAAAGGAGGGTCTGGAGATGAATACCAAGGGCACCATGAGAGTGCTGGATGTGGCCAAGAGAATTAAGAACCTGGTCTCCTTTGTACACCTTTCTACGGCTTTCTGTTACCCTGATTATAGCAGAATGGCTGAAAAGGTAACCTTATGTATAAATAAATCAGATTTCAAAAATTGTTTTTTCGATTTGAAAACTATATTTTTAATGAACGTTATTTGGTGAATCACATGACTTATTAGCGGATATAAAGAATTAACGCTTAACGAATTAGGAGTAATGCGTTGATGAAAGATCTGATTCGTCGCAATGGGTTAATTTTTAATAACAATTAATATCCCTTGGCTCCATGTACGATAAAGAAAGGATAATGTATATTTGCATTTTATAATAAGAATGAAATCTCTTCCCTCGTGTTAATCGATACCAAGTTGATAATTAATCATAAATTTTAATTCAGGTTCACGACCCACCGGCGAATCCTTACGAAGTATTGAATGCTGCTAGCTGGCTGACCGACGAGCAGGTCAACCTCCTGACGCCGTCCTTGCTGCAGGCGCATGCTAACTCGTACACATACTCCAAGAGGCTCGCAGAAACGCTTGTTAAGGAGCAATACCCTGATCTACCAGTATGCGTAGTACGACCCAGTATTGGTGAGATTTTGAACTACACATTTTCCTGATTTGATATTATGAGGGTTACACATTTTTCTATCTCCTAATCTGGACATGATAATATGATACGCTTTGATTATACACATAAATGTCTTTTCTTTAGCGTATAGAACTATAAGTTCGGCGTTGTCGTCATTATTTGGAAATGTTAAGTTTCGCCGTACTTTATAGTATAGTGTTTAAACTACATTGTTTATTTTTTAATATTACAGTAACCCCTTCATATAAGGAACCGATAGAAGGTTGGGTAGACAATTTGAATGGTCCCGTGGGGCTGATGGTGGGCGCGGGTAAGGGTGTCATCCGCTCTATGCACTGCATCGGCCACTATCATGCTGAAGTCATCCCAGTAGACATCGCTATTAATGCCATCATCGTCATTCCTTACTACATCAACTCTCTACCTGAAAAGTAAGTTTGTTACAGGGTCGCCATAGTTTTTAGTAGAATCGATATTTGATTTTTTAAATTTTGATTATTAGGAAAGGACATTTAATCCGGTCAGCTAAGGACATTTATGTTTGTTAAAAATATATAGTTGAGTGTTTTGATTCCAGAAGTCCAGAAATTCCAGTTTTCAACCTGACATCAGGTGATGATAGAGATACAACATGGAAGGAGGTACTCGACGTTGGGAAGGCGACGGTACGGAAATATCCTTTCGAAGGTCCCCTCTGGTACCCGGACGGCAACATTCGTCATAACAAGTTCATACACAACATCTGCGTCTTGTTCTTCCACATACTACCCGCTTATTTTATTGATTTCTTAATGCTTATATTTGGACAGAAAAGATTGTGAGTATTTGATAATATAAAATTTTATTGAGTTTTCAATCGGTGGCATAAATTATATGATTCCAATTCAATCCTTAAAGCTAAATTAATAATTAATTCTAATTCAATACAAATTAGATTTTCTACTAAATATTGTAAATCCTGTTGTTAACTGTGTTTATATTATGATTACAGTATGGTACGGATCCAAAATCGCATATCAGTTGGGTTGGAAGTTCTCCAATACTTCACGACTCGCGAATGGTGGTTCGACACGCACAACTTTAAAGCATTGTCCACACGCCTTAATCAGGTGGACACGAAGACCTTCCCGATGGACTTGAAAATAATCGAAGTGGAACCTTACATCGAAAGCTGCATGTTGGGAGCTAAAATGTTCTGTCTAAAGGAAAAACTGGAGAATCTTCCCAAAGCAAGACTGCAGAATAATATGTAAGTTGCATGAATATAAAATACCAGAAGTAATTAAACTGCAAATTTGAGAAACAAAACTGGTGCTCCCTGACGTATAATCTCGGAGTGTAGCAGATTTAAATTAGAATACATCGTTCATGAACTGCTTAACGGTAACCCAATATAAAAAATAAAAGTTATCTACGTCAGAAAAATCTCAATTTTCCAACGTTTCGTTTCGTTTGAACGATTCGTTTGAACATGTCAGTTGGGACTGACATGTTCACAAACGACGAGACACAACGAGAGTATGTAATTGTTCCCATAACAATATATTTGGGAAATAATTACATCTACAAGTATATTATATCATACAAGCAATCAACAAAAAAAAACAAGTAACGACAAGAAACAAAAAAAAATATTTACAATTTCTCTAAGGCCTTTAGAACCGAGCCCCGGACTCCGTCGGCTAGTTTCTAAAATTACTAAAAGCTTACAAATGTCATTTGTTTCAGACTCTACGTGCTTGATTTGTTGGTGACTGCTTTCGTGTTCTACTTGCTACCATTATACTTGTTAGCTTCATACGTCGAGCCTTTCAGAATGATACTCTCATTTGGAGGTCCTTTTGTTAGATATCTGCCACTTGTAGGTAAAGCTGTGTTTACAGAAGGTTGAGTTTTCTTAACAGTATTTTTATGTAAATAATATTGTTAGTTATATCAATATTTTGTATACTTGAAGGGACTAGTTTTTATACAATATTATTTTAAATAATAACTAGATGCTAGGTTTTACTTATAAGATATTAACACGTTAGGCGCCATGTGGGACTATATGTCCGACAAGCTAATGTTTCAATCAGGCCGTGTCGGACTATCTGTCCGACCAGACATACTTCCATTCAACACCTCGCTGTGGCTTTTTAATCGAATTGTTGTATACAGCCTGACCCGCAAGGCCCCATTCAAATGGTTTTGGAGAAAAATCAAATTTTTCTTTTTTTCGTTTTCCAAAAATCATTCTGGCAGCTAACGTGTTAAGATGGTTCTTAATGTTAAGAATTCAAATCATTGTGTAGTCATTTATGTTATATGCCTTTATATTGATTTTATATAAATAAATGAATAATAAATAACTTTGTTCTATTAAAGATGTATTATTACTGCCATCTTAGCTTCGCTCTGTTGGGAAATTGCAGCATCTCCAAATAATACAAACTATAAGTTATGAACATACATTAACGGTTACACAAAGACTTTGTTCATAAGTAACGTGTAGTATATTGAAGGTAATACATCATTGGAAAGATTACATCAAAGATAGGGAGACGCATAAAAAATCTAAGAGCAGTAATAGAAAAGTTGGGCATTTGTCAGCGCAGAATTATAAAAGTAGCCTATACGTCTGTCCCGTCAAAATCGGTACAATCCTTCCGGATTACCTAGAACAAATGTAACTTTGCGGACAGTAAGACAGATAATCATTTATAATTGGGTTTTTATCATCAACGCAAATGAAACGACAAGATATGTTTTCTTTTATATAACATACATATTGAATTATGTAACGTAATCTGTGTCTAGTGCAAAAACAAATGTACAAAAATATAAGGGTATGAGTTAAGGGAATGAAAGTAATACCCAATAAGATCTAACCGCTAAACCGATCATCCACGTAACCAAGCAACTCGTTCTCATGTTCACAGATAAAATAACATTTTGCATCACAGCTGATGCTTGTCAGTGAGCCATTGTAGTCCATAGCACCGCACTCCTTATTCTCGTTTTCATTATCTGGTTCATTTTCAGCCCATTGTTTGTATCCGCTTGTTTCTATGTATTCACCTGAAAAAATAAATTTAATAAAAATTATGAGAGTGCTTCATGAGATGGTTAAAAACAAACAGCCAATTAAATAAAAATAGGCATAAATTGGACACGAAAGTACATCTTACTAATATAATATCAATCTATAAATGCCAAAGTTTGGATGGATGGATGGATTACTAAAAGGTATCTAGAACGGCAGCATAGATCTAGATGAAATTCGGTATAAATATAGAACACTGTCTTGAAGAACACACAGGCTCGTGTATTCGCTCTTATTTTTGTCAACTACTCAACGAATATGTTTATTTTGTATAATAGTACAATGCCAAAACTAGTAGTGTTCTAATATAAACTCATGTACTTGGAACTACAGGTGCCTTTCCGGCCTTTGTAACTGTTAGGAAAAAATACTTACCTAATACAGTTTTCCAGCCCGTTTTGTCTTTCTTACTAAATCCTAAAGCGATAGAACTGCACGCATTTGGAGTAATGTCATTGGTACTGAATGCATCACCAATTAACATTGCTAAATGCTGTGCTTCGACTTCGCTATTTATTACAGCCAAGTACGAATGTTCGATGTCGCACACTAGCGCTGCTTCGGTCCAATTTGCGGGAGTCGAATGAAGCTTGTAGCAGCGGGATGTTTCATCACTATATCGGTATTCTGGTTAAGAAGACATAACACAATTAAATTTATTTTTTCTATAAAATCTAATTCAAGGAAGGCCGCAACCGCAACATTTTATTTAAAAAAAATCCTTACCTAAATCGGGTACGTTACAGTAATCATTCCATTTTATAGTAGCTTGGGTTTTCTTGCATATAAAGTTGTATTTTTTGTCACATCCATCATCGTAGAGTCTACCATTGAGAGCCATGGTCAAGCAGTGTTCGTTACCATCGCTGTTGTTAGGCTCGCCTTGAGCCCAGTTATTATAAACATCCTTTACTGAAACTCCTGTAAGTTGATATATGGTTTTTTTAATATTATAAAATGCGTCGTTTTTGATACCGTTGCACATGTAGTTTCGTTATATCTTACTAATTTAATCTAGTTTAATTTGAATCTTACTAGTATTGTAAATGCGAATGTTCAGAGAGCAGTAGAACGGATTTTGGCGAAATTTGGCATAGATGAATAAAATAGTCTGGACGAACACATCGGCTACTAATTATGTTTCTTTAATACCGCATGGACGGAGTCACGGGCGTCCGCTAGTTTAGTATAATTTAAATGTATTTGACTTTTTGTGTTCTGGCACGACTCGTTAGCTACTTAGTTAACCTAACTTAATAAGAAAACCAATGAAATAATCGGTTTATCATTGGGAAAACCTTAGGCCTTGGGCGTGAAATTAGGAGCAGGGCGGTGTGACAGGGATTATAAATATTTACAATAAAATTAATCACCATACATCATCATCATCATCATCAGCTCACTATACTTCCCCACCGAGGGGCTCGGAGCCTACCCTAAGTATAATAAATTTTATTAAATCACCGTACCTTATTATTTAATTATCTTACTTTCTACTTCTTACTTATAAATGTGAATGTTTAGATGGATGGATGTTTGTACGAATGTACCTCCAAAATGGCTCAATGGATCTCGATGAAATTTGGTATGGATGTAGAATTTTGGTGGTGGTATAGCTGCTAGTATCGATCAAATTCATTAATTTTAGAATTAACTTACCATCTACAGTTGCATAGACTTCCTTGGCCACTAAATCCGAAACTCCAATGTATATAACATTAAATGAATGAGTTTCATTCCAGTAATTAGTAATCGATTCAACCTCGTATTGGTCCTCAGGATAGAACAGAGTCGCTCCTTCCAATTCACACATCTTCCTTGCTTCTTTCCATGTTCTACTTATAGTATGGATCTTATAAAAACTGCGATTATCTTCTATAAATTTATAATCTTCCCGGAAGAAATTTCCACTTATCTGACCTTAAAATATCAGTAAGATAAAGGTGAGAATAGATTTTAATTCTTAAAAAGTTTTAATAATCTCCTTCTTCCACTCTCTCCACTCTTTTCGAGAAGTAAGCTCCGTTGGAATTGGAAAAGCTTTTCGGGCGAAGCTTTTAAGATTATGTTTATATTTTTAAGTTTAAAGCTTAGCTTCAAATAGACAGAACAGTTTTATGTTTAAATGAATTATAAGTAATTATTAATCATGTATATATTTTACAATATCATCATATAAAAACTCTTTCTCTCTCTCAAGGTGCCTCCCCATTTAATGGAGGTTGGCAGTCAGCTCAGTGAACTTTCGCCGATCTTGTGCCAAGCGAAATAAATGTTTCACGCTGGTAACATTCACATAACACGTATAAAAGCGCGTATTAAAAAGTAGTAATCAATGTATGCAAAAGGCCATATTAATTCAATTCTTAGATGTAATTACATACTTTGTTCCTTCTGTGGAAATGATTTGACACAGAAAACAAATCATGTATCCACTTAACAATCGATATTTTATTAAAAATACTTACTGAATATATTTGTTATTGTAAAACAAAATAAAAATACCACTACACATTTAAAACTTGTCATGTTTAAGAATACGACTACCTAATAAAAATATGTAGAAATACTGACAAGAATAAATGTTGTCTATGCATATGTGTTTTATATCGTGCATAAAAACTGGATTGGCAGGATATATGTATGTACGAGATGGTCATGGTTATATGACTATTGAACTATAAGAATCTTGTTTAAAGGTCACGTATCTTCGTTCATTATTATCTTTAAATACTAAATATACAAAAAAAAAAAACAAAAAAAAATGTTCAAGTCGATTTCAAGATTTTGTTAACCTGTTTTACTAAATTCTTTTTATATTATTATTTATATTTATTTAATTTTCTTACAGTAATTGTATGATAATGGACAGATGATTAATTTCATCTATATATATAAAAGAAAGTCGTGTTAGTTACACTATTTATAACCCACGAACGGCTTTACCGATATGGCTGAAAATTGATGTGGAGGTAGCTTAGAGCCAGGAGACTGACATAGGATACTATTTATTCATATTTTTTTAGAATTTCTGACTTGAAGAGCTGCTTTCTATTTAACTTACTAATATTATAAATGCGAATGGATGTGATGTGGATGTATGGATGGGTGTTTGAAGATATCTCTAAAATGGCTGAACGGATCTCGATTAAATTTGGCATACGTATAGAAAAATGTCTGAATGTGTGTTCTACATAGGCTACACTAATTAAGTTTTTTATATATCCACACGGACGGAGTCGCGGGCGTCAACTAGTAATATAATAAAATTAAAACCACGTTTTTCGTAGGTATATATTTAATCTTACTTCTTATTCTCTTACTAATATTATAAATGCGAAAATTTAAACGGATGGGAACCTGGAACGACTGCATAGATGTAGCATATGGTCTGGAATAACACATAGACTACTTATTTCACTTTTTTTTCTAATCATGCGCTGACGTCATTAGTTAATAATAATACTAAACTTGGCTGACAACAAAAAAAATATTTTTATAAAATAAAATTGTTAAAAACATTTTGGTAGTTAGATTTTTTTTTAAACTTTTTACTTTGGTAATAATCACTCCTAACTTAATAGGCTCCGAGCCACTTGGTGGGGACGTATAGAGAGCTAATGATGAATAATCTATGAAAGCACTAACACACATACTTTCGCTCCATATAAAACACTCTCATACTAAATTTTATTAAACTATCTAAAAATAATATAGAGACATTTGTAGAATAATAGACAAAGAAACAATAAAATTGTTAGTGCTTTCATTTGGTTGTCAATTCTTCCCCGTCTTTCCACCGATTTCGTCGATGTCTCTTTCGCAAATGAAATAGCAATCTTGAGTTTCGCAGCTAATGTCATTGAATTCACCGTTGTAGAACATGCCGCCGCAATACTCTTTCTCTCCGCCGTCGGGCTGGTAGTAGTTCCAGACAGAGTAGCCTGCCTGTTCCAATGTCTCCCCTGGAATATAGACAATCACTTTTAATAATACTATTGTCAACTTAAGGAATAACATTTATAGTGTTTGGTTAACAGTGGTAGACGCCAGCAAAATAACATCTGTTGTACGAATTGTCGGCTCGTCCGGTGCAATACCACGACCACAGGGAAGGATGGGAAGTGGAAGTAGATTTGAAGGCGGCGGGGACGTGTAGGAAGAGAGGAAATATTCTCATTTTGGGACACAATGCATCTACAATTGTCGATGTTTACGGACAGCGGTCGCTTCTCTTTTTTGGCGAATACAGGTGGCCGCTTACTCGTATGTGTATAATGATTTCCTGTGCCGAACCTAACTTAAACAAATCTAACCTTAACAGCTTGGTCTAAAGTTATCCATTTTTTTTTCTTACGAGGATTATAAATTGGTCAAGCTTTTTAAATTAATAGGCAGTTGTATTTTTAAAAGGACAAGTTGTAAACCAACGGACAAGTCCATCATTATTACGCCTACCTTCTTACACATACCCTCTGTCTTTAGTGTGTCAAACTCTTTTCACCTTGACATTAGAAGTGCATCTAGTTTTAGCATGATTTCGAATGATAACTCACCTTTGAGGGTTACCCAGTCTTCAATTGTTTCATCGAAGCGATATCCCAGATGGACTGCACCACTTAAATAATATCCATCGTAATTCTTTGGATTATCATTAGTTATTTTCGATAAATGATCAGCTTCCTGTTTACTGTTAGGAATCGCCAAATAGGCCTGTTCTGCTTCACAAATTTTCTCCGCATCCCTCCAAGATTTGGGTTGTGTGTGAAACTTATAGCATTTATTCATTTCCTTATTGAATTTATAACCTGAAAAAATTATGTAAACATCGTATTTCTTACTAACATTATAAATGCGAATGTTTGGATGGATGTTTGTTTGAAGGTATCTCCGGAACGGCTCAACGGATTTTGATGAAATTTGGCACACTTATAGAACATAGTCAGGAAGAACACATAGGCTAATTAAGTTTGTAATTAATTCTGCGCGGGAGGAGTCGCAGTCGATAGCTAGTATATATATATTTTAAGTCTGCAACATATAAGCCTTACTTACATTTTATAATGTATTAACATCATCACGAACACAACTCGTGTTTTCCTTATTACGTTAATAAGACTATTGCGTACTATTGGGATTACGTAATATATTTAATGTGATGTATTGAGATGTGGTGTGATGCTTTGTGATATAATGTGACTTGATGATTGGTTCGCATCATGAACTTTTTGAAAACCAGTTGTTATTTGCAGACAATTTCAGACGACTATAGATCACAGACCGTTGAAACAAACCAAAATCTTAGTTTAATTCAAAATGTGTATCATGTGTCTTTTTAAATTATGTCTGTCTGATGACTGACCACTGTCATGTATGAGATTTTGGAAGTCACCAATCAGTGCCATTAATTTGCCTACACTTTTGGGATCCTAGTATATCTTTGTGAATTATTTTCGTTTTGTACACAACCAAAGTCAACACTAACTTAGGGGTGGCTACGAGCCTCACAGTGGGGACGTATAGTGAGGTGATGATGGATACTAACCCAAAAATGGAGATTTGCATTCGGCATTCCATTCCCTAAAAGATTGCATCGTTTTCTTACAAATGTAGGGTAACCATGTGTTGCATTTGCTATCCTGGTAGATGCCAAGTTTGTTCATAACTACGCAATCGTCTTCGGCTGTAGCGTCGTTTGGTTCTCCGGCCATCCAGTTACTGAATACATCTCTTATTGGCACGCCTATATATTGAGAAGTTGGAAGATTTGTTAAATAAGTTAATTGAATAAATACATAAACGTAAAGAATCTACACATTTTTTATGTTTAAAAATAATAAACGACCAATTAAATAATTGTATAATATAAAAAAATAATAGAAAACAGAACTGTTTAGAAATAGCACGACGTAATTTAAGTTAGAACTTACTATTTTTTTGAAACAAAAAAAAATCTTACCATCAACAGTTAAAAAAACACCTTTGGTTTGTGTTGCGGAAATACCTATATGAATTAAATCAATGTTAGGGTTCGTTTTATTAATATGGCATATGACCTCGTCTAATTCAATATTGTTATCAGGATAAAACAACTTCGCTCCTTCCAAATCACACTTTTCCTTTGCGTTCCACCATGTCTTCGCTTTAGTATGTACTTTATAAAAACTATTCGCACAATTTAAATAAACGTAATCACTTCGAAAGAACTTTAATTCAGGCTGGCCATCTAAAAAAAGATTAAATTAAAAGAAAATTTTAAATGATTAAAAAAAAGTTAACTATAATTTAATTTTATTTAATAATTAATTTTATCACTTACATGTTGAAACATATAAACTTTTTATTATAAAGATGAAACAGAAAATATGTTTATAAATCATATTTACCGCAGAACCGTTTACAACGAATAATAGACTTAGACTGAGAAAAGGATAAGACTTTTGATGCAAATATATTGTTTACTCATTTGTTTAAATTTCTATAACTACAGCTTATTTCAACTCAAGTCCTTAACTTAAGATAAACATAAGTAATTTTTGTGACAGGACTCAAGTTAAATTTCTGTAATCATAACTAGAAAAGTCGAATGATTCTGATTATAAAATATTTTCCGTTTTTTTTTACTCCTCTGGTATAACAGGTTTTTGGAGTCATCATAATTGTGGGTTTTCACTCTGTTACGTTAACATCTTGTTATTCCTCTCATTCTTTTGAGGAAACAGAGATAACAATATGTTTTCGTACAGCTGTTTAGGCAGTGGAGAAAATCATAATGTTGGGTTTTATTCAAAGCTTGGTCATCGACTACGTTTAGCCTCTTTGCATTATTGTTATTCATACTTTGACGTATTCCTGTTAGTTAATAAGAGTCTCGTGCCCGTGGCCTCGTCCCTATGCGTTGGAAGAACAGAGAGGTTTAGTGGGTATGCCTCCGTTATGGAGGAGAATCCCACATAACTACCGCGTCCCCCCCGGGGCGCGGAGTATGAATAAAGCATTCCTCTCTGGAAAAAAAGGTAATAAGAGTCTATTTGCTATTATTTCGATGAATTATTATGCATTATGCTAAACTGAATCGTTCTTTATTATCATGTTTTTAGCTTTATTCAAAATAAATGAAAAATTGCAACATCAAATATTCATTTATCAATGTATCAAACCTCGTTTTTTCAATTTTTTTTAAAATGTGAAATAGCACTGCTTATGGAAGACATTTTTATTTAGCTTAATTAAAGTTCTTGTTGAAAATTATTTCCCTACGGCGTATGCAACGTAGTTAGTTGTGACTAATTACTAGGTAGTCAGCGCATTCGGTGTTTTATAATTCTTTCCGTTTGAAGTTCCTTCGCTGATTACACAGACGTTGTAAACTAGGGATTTCATGTTATCACAGATATAGAAATCAACCAGAATTAAGTTATGACTCTTCTAAGGTCACTGAATAGTTCCAGTTTTCTGTGACAAATTTCGAGACCATTCATTCCTGCAATATTATTAAAAAGGATACAAATTCTTCGTTTGACATTTTAATATTATAACTATTAAATTAAATATTTAATGAAGACAGAACATTTTTTTTAAATCTTTATTTTATTAGTTTTTTATTTTATTTTATTTATTAAAACTGTTACGGTTATTCAATAAATATGTATGATATAAATACATAAGTTGTTTTACCTATAAATTAAATAAATATATATATATATATATATATATTTGAAATGTTTAATTACATACATATTATTACGTTAAGTTTAAAATTATTTTTATTTGGAAATTGACTAAAAAAAAATTAAAAAAATATTACATTTTTTACATATTAAACTTAATTATTATAATACAAATCTATGAAAACTTATACATGTTCACGTAATAACTCCGTATTAAAACGCTTATCGCGCCAAATTACTATAGAATTATCTTGGAAAAAGTTGTCGTGGACAGAGCGAAGTGGAAGAGAAAGATTGGGAAAGCTGAGGCCACCAACTTGTGGGCTGCAAGCTAGGCAGAGAGAGAGAGATTAAAATAAAACAGAGACAATAAAAAACAATTTTACTGTCTCTGCGCTTTCATTTGTCAATTCTTTTCAGTCCTATCTATAGCGAAGATTTCACTAATTAAATTGAAATTGTCATTGTCTCTCTCGCAAATAAAATAGCAATCCATAGTTTCACAGGTTACGTCGTTGAGTTGTCCGTTGTATTGCATAGAGCCGCAGAGTTCTCTCTCTCCGCCGTCCGGCTGGTAGACATACCACTTGGAGTAGCCCGCCTGCTTCAATGTATCGCCTGGAATATAAGATAATCTTCCTATTCTAAATTTAAAGTATATAATCTAATTGTTTACGGATGCAGCGAAACGTAACTCGCGGTTCTAACCGTATGGTTTGATGGCCCCCTGGTCCTATAAACATTGTCGTTAACCATCATTAAATAATTACTCATTTGAATTATTCCTCACCTTTAAGGGTTATCCAGTCATGAAGCGTCTCATTGTACCGGTATCCTAAATGCACTACACCGCTCAAATACCGTCCACCGTAATTTTTAGGATCTTCATTAGTTATTTTGGATAAATAATCAGCTTCCTGTTGACTGTTTGGTATCGCCAAGTACGCCTGCTCTGATTCACAAATATCCGCCGCAAACCTCCAAGATTTAGGTTGTGTATGAAACTTATAGCATTTATTTAATTCCTTACTATATTTATAATCTGAAAAATTACATTAAAATATGTTACACAATGACATAATTAAATATCAGATGAATTATAATCTCTAACTTATTGATAATATCGTCACTTTATAATTTTATTTTCTGTCAATATTTTTTAAACAGGGGAGCTAAACAAAGTGCATTCGCTCAGAAGCGATTCCATAGGGAACTTTAAAAAAGGGTCTTAACAGACAGATGGACGAGCAACAAAGTGATCCTGTAAGGGTTCCGTTTTTCCGTTAAGGGTTTTTCCTATGAGGTACGGTACCCTAAAAAAATTATGGAACTGACGCGCGACAATCACGTCTTATCGAAAGTTTTGAATTTCCTTATGGAATCGCTTCGCAGTGAGTTTTGTCTGGCCCTTTGACAAAATATCTTTGCTAGTAATTTTTTTTACATACCCAAAAATGGAACATTGCATTCGTAATTCCATTTTGTGAAAGAATGTTTAGTTTTCTTACAAAGGTAGGGTAATCTTCTATTGCATTTATCGTCCTTGTAAAGGCCAAGTTTATTCATAACGATGCAATCGTCTTCAGCAGCGGCGTCGTTTGGTTCTCCGACCATCCATTGACTGTATACATTTCTTATTGGTACGCCTGTACATTAAGAATTTGAATGATATTATGCAAAATATGTTAATTTAATACATCATCATCATCAGCTCACTATACGTCCCCACCGAGGGGCTCGGAGCCTACCCTAAGCTAGAGGTGACTAGGCCATAGTCAACCACGCTGGCCAAGTGCGGGTTGGTTAACTCCACACATATCTTTTGAATTTCTTCTCAGATATGTGCAGGTTGCATCACGATGTTTCCTTTACCATAAGAACGTCGGATAAATGTACGTATGTAAATCGAAAATCGAAAAACACATTGGTACATGGCGGGATTCGAACTCTAGACCTGCAGATTACAAGTCAAATGCCTAAACCCCTAAGCCACTGACGCCCATTATACATATGCGGAGGTAAAGAATCTACAGGTTTGTTTAATTTGAAAATAATAAACAAGAAATAATAGAGAACAGAAAAGCTATGAGCATAGCCTGGCTAGTTTAAAGGGAATAAACTTGTTTGAAAGTCGAGAAAACCTTCAGCCATCGTAATTTAAATCAAGTTTATAAAAATGATAATTAAAAAATCTTACCATCAACACCAAGAAAAACACCTTTGGTTAATAACGAAGAAATACCAATATAAACCGAATCGATATTCGGACCCGTTTCATTGATATGTTTTAACACCGCGTCTACTTCAATAATGTTCTCAGGATAAAACATTTTTGCACCTTCCAAAACACACTTCGCTTTAGCATCCCGCCATGTCTTCCTTTTAGTATGTAATTTATAATAACTACGCGTATTATCCAATTGTTTGTAATCACTACGAAATAAATTTATTTCAGGTTGTCCATCTGGAATATTAATAATTACTATTATTAAAGGAAACAAAAAAAAATAATTGTTAAATTAACTTTTTCACATACATGTTAAAACATATAAACTTTGAATTATAAAGAAAAAACAGTAAACATATTTATAGAACATTTTTAAAGTAACAAAAAAAACAACCGCGTAATACGAATTGTTGACTCAGACTGAGTAAAGGATAAGACTTAAGATGCAAACATATTGTTTATTTATCTGTATTACGTCTATTGGTTATTAAATTTAATAATTTATCTTTATAAACAAAAGTAATTTTTAAGTCAATCATAATTAGAAGTCACGAAGTAATCTAATTGACCCCTAAATGCGCATTGTTGTATGAAAAAAAAATCCAAAAACCATAGACTAAAAATAATTAGACTATTTTTATTATTTTTCTATTATTATAATAGACTAAAATACCGATCTTGAATTAAATATGATTTATTCGAGATATTTGGAAAAATCAGGCATTTAAGTGTTAAGAAACGGTAATTGAGATGCTAAAATATTGTTTTTTGCAAATAAAACTGTCTGACCCCATACTCGTTGAAATAACAGGTTATTGGAGATGTCAACCTAATAGTTTCCATTGCCGAAGCACTCTTACAATAACATATTTTCATCTCTTTCGATCACTTTGAGAACAACAGAGACAACAATGTTTAATATTTGAGGTCATCCAAGGTTTTGTTGTTATATTTTTGTACCGAATTCGAAATATAAATTTAATCATAAAATTGTCAGACTCTGTCTTTTAGTCTATGGTGTTTCAATCATCATCATCATCATCATCATCATCAGCTCACTATATGTCCCCACCGAGGGGCTCTGAGCCTACCCTATCTTAATGGTGATTAGGCCATAGTCAACCACGTTGGCCCAGTGCGGATTGGTTGACTTCACACATATCTTTGAATTTCTGTTTCAATATGTGTATGTAAATATAGGACTAATTAGTGCTATGGGAAATATAAACAACGATTAACTAATGACTTATAAGAGGTAAATAGGAAAATAATTGCGCTATATTGTATGTATTCCTACCATCTTTAATATGGCACATAAATAGACGTATTCATTATTCAATTTTTTGTATCTTAAAAGGTATATTCAAGGATAAAGATCGTAACATTGGCCATATATAATACATATGTTTTTTAATAATTGAAATTATTTTTCACATTTATTGTTTTAAAACCAGTGAATACAAAATGAGTATAAATAAAATCAATTAATATTAACAATTTAACTTCAATTTCCTTTTGATGCTTAATTAGGGTAGAATTTGTTTTTTCCCATAATAAACTAATACATTTGACAATTTAATTATTCGATTAATATTATACACCGCTGTACTTCTCACTGAGAAAACTGAAAGCTTTAACTTCTAATTCGCATATAAAGAAGCATTTGTGATTTTGACAGCTAACATCGTGTAGTTTTCCATCGTACGCCATCGCTCCGCATTGCTCTTCGTTGCCGCCGTCCGGCTGCCGGTCACCCCACGCTGAGTATCCTGCCTCTTGTATTGTTTCCCCTGCATTTAATAAATAGGTGTTTTTAAACATTAGGCACAGACCGGGCATTGTGGCAATCGATGGGGGAGGCCTACGTCCAGCACTGGATAAATTTAGGCTGATTATGATGATTATTTAGAATCCTTTGACGCAAATGGGGCGCTGGTGAGGGGGACATAAACGTCTACATTATAGTAAGGCTAGTGGTGCGCCAGTACACCGGCACAGTGTCGGAATTTCTTCCTAACAATATCAATTAAAAACATAATAAATCCTACTAAATGTAAACTATGATATTCCAGTAAAGAATGACGTCGCACTTAAATGACCTGGCCGAGACATATACGGGTTTGATCGTAGACGTAAAACATTACTCTCACTGTCCTTCCAACGGGGAATAATATTATATAAAAAAATCCTTAGAATATATGTTATGTAGTAACTAGCTGTCGCTCGTAACCCGCGCGGAAATAAAAAAAAAACTTAATTAGTAGCATATGTGTTTTTCAAGGCTATGTTACATCTATGCCAAATATCAGCGAGATACGTTACTATTCGACTCATTAGTTAAAAAACAAGTTATAGTAAAATACGTAAAAAAGAAATAACCAAACTGCTTATTAAGATGTTACAAACATAACATTTATATCAATAACGTGAAGCAGTTATAAAATAACGCCATACCTCCGATCGTTTTCCAGTCGTCTTCAAACCAGTTAAATCCAACATGGACGAATCCTCGCAGGTAATCGCCTTGTACCGCATCCTTCGGCGCTTGTTTAGTCATGTTAACGAGAATATCTACCTCTTCTTGGGTATTAATTATAGCCAAATATCCTTGTTCAGCATCACACACTTCTAAAGCATTCACCCAATTTACAGGTTTTAAATGAAATTTATAACAGCGACTTGCATCTTCATCGCGTACGTACTCTAAAATAATATTCAACAATCGTTAAGAAATCAATTTGTGAAAATAACGAATCCGTTTTCTCTTCCCTTCCCATTTTTCTGTCTATATAATAATACGTCCTTCGTCCAGGCTCGTTAAGATTCAAAATAATACAACTTTAATTACTTTAAATCTAAGATTCCCGTGAAAAATATCCATGAAACACACCGGTGTAAGGAGTATGACAATCGGAATTCCATTTAACGGAATCTAATGGCTTTTTGCAAATATATGGAAATATTTTAAGGCAGTTGTCATCGTTATAAGTTCCATCTGGTCGCAGCACCAGACATTTTTCATCGTTTCTGACATTATTTGGTTCACCTACTCCCCATTTATTGTAGATATCTTCGTATGCTCTTCCTGAAAAAAATAAGTTTTTTTTAAATAACTACGTACACAGACCTCACAATTTTAGGTAGAATACTAACTTTGAAAAAAGTATATTGAATGTGGATGGCTACAAAGGTAGAGGAAGACTAAAGAAAGTATGGATGGATTGTGTGAAAGAGGATATGCGTAGGAAGGGAGTAGATTTAGATATGACGACTGATAGAGATCTATGGAAGAGTACTACATACTGTGGCAACACTCCGTAGAGATAAGAGCAGGTTGATTTTGACTAAATATGAAAACTAGCTATTTGAATAGTGTATTACTGTATTTCAAACCTATTATATATATTGGGTAAGCGAAATCAACAGACTTTTTAAGCCCAAATTCTCAGTTCATTAATATCATTTACATACCTAATCAACAAAGCATCTGTCATTACCATGCTGTTTATGATTTTAATAAGCAATAATATTTAATGCAAATATATTCCAATTATCTTAATCAGTAAGGGAACTATGCAATATATAGATAAACAGCCACTGTTTTTAAGCACCAAGTAGCTATAAATCTTTTCATAACACTGTTTAAAAACACCGCTGTGTGGTTTTTTTGGTAGTAAGAATTAAAATTCAAGGTAACATTAAGTTGAGAATGACATTTGGATCACTACGTGAATAACAATCGTACGTACCATCAATGCTTTTAAACTTTCGTGTGGCATCATCGAGGGAAATTCCAACAAACATGGCCGTTATCACAGGCTGTGTTTTGTTCCAGTGTTGGAGTATGGCTTTAACTTCTTTCTCATCTTCAGGATAGAAAAGCGATGCGTCTTCTATTTCACAACGCCATTTTGCATTTGCCCAATTCTTTTTAAGTGTGGCAATTTTGTAATAACTATTTGTTTCTGATATGAACGTGTAATCGCTTCTAAACAATTCTTGGGAATATCCATCTAAAAGATTATGTTAATTTATTTCTTTATAACAACCTACAATATAGATGTTTTCACTTTCAACTTACTTTTAACGACAAATAAAATACAGAGAAATAAAAAATAACTCATAATTTTAATGATTGCACAAAATGAGCGACTGCTTCCTTTTGCTTCGCCACTACAAATGAGAATAGCTTTGATTTGTCTTTTTATGTTTAATATCGTAGGTTAATAAGGTCATATACGCACGGAGTTTATGCTCTTTGCTATTTTAATCTAATCTCTTTTCACTAGACGATTAAAGTTTCGAAGCAGATGAACTTCTATTGACATCCGGTGTACTATAAACCTTACATTTTCCAAGCCTTTATTCCCGTTGTGCCCGGAAAGTAGATTATAATATTCATTTTAATAGCAATTTACCAGAGAATTCTGATATCGAACACTTTTTTTTTATTATTAAAAATATTTATTTCATGTCCAGTATGAATAAAGGTAAATTAAACACCGATATAATAGCAGCTCGCTCTATTACACGCTGACGAAGTTGCGAACATCAGTGGGGTCATTTATTTCCTTACTAAATACTTTTACTTATACATTTTTTTATAACAATTTTTTAATAAGTTATCTTCGTGTAACTCAGCTTCAAATGGCGGAACTGTGTAATTTATAATATAATTCGACACATGGTACCGACAAATAGTTGTTGTGTTTAAACTTTATAGAATTTAACAAACTCCTATCGGTACATTACTTTACATTTAAATTAAGATTTATTTAGATTCCGAATTTGTCATTCAATAAGCTCAGAAGTCTGTTTTCTCTTTCACATATAAAGAAGCATCTGTGCGCTTCGCAGCTGACGTCGTTAAGTTGACCGTTGTAGAACATAGAGCCGCAGCATTCGTTTCCTCCGCCGTCGGGCTGGTTGTTGCCCCACGCTGCATACCCCGCCTGCTCCAATGTCTCGCCTGGAACACACTTGTCTTAATTTTTTGTCCATCACATCAGAGTCCGAAATTCATACAACGTTTCAAATGTAAGTGATAACTTTTATGTTTACAAATGTCCGTTAAAATTTAAAATAAAAATACCTATCTATATGTATCGTAATTATTACCAACAATAATCTTCATAATCAAACTTACCCATAACTGTCTTCCAGTCATCAATAGTTTTGTCGTAAATAAAACCTAAATGCACGGCTCCACGTACGAAAGTTCCCTTCACTTTGTCTTTGGGTGCATTAGCAGTGATGTTGACGAGATGTTCAGCCTCCAGCTCCGAGTTGATTATGGCTAGGTACCCTTGCTCAGCGTCGCACGCCTCCACCGCGTCTTTCCAGTTCCTCGGGTATAAATGGAACTTGTAACATCTACCCAAATCTTCGTTATATTTGTAATCTGAAATTAAACGACAACATGGAATTATATCAAAATATTTTATACCAAAAATGATAACATTTTGGTCATCATTTAAATCATATTAGGTAAGAAGAGTGTTTTAGTCGCTTATGTTTGCCGCCTTAAAGTAAATGGTCGTAGCAACCCTAATAATTTTTATATAGAGAAAATAAAAATTTATTCGAAACGTACCCAAATATGGACTGTTGCATTCTTCGTTCCATTTCCTATCCACTTCTATTTTAGTCTTTTTGCAAATAAATGGAAGTTTGTTGGCACATTTTACGTCATTCAGCATGCCATCTTTGCGCATTACCACGCAGTCTTCTTCGTCGTTGTAATTATTTGGTTCACCCGGAGCCCACGCGTTGTATACGTCTCTTAATGCATCTCCTGTAAAATTAGCAAGTTTGAAGTTCGTTAAATTAATTTAATAAAGTGAATATGTCTATTGACTTATAACAAAAACTTTGTAGAGATTTGTGCCACGATTTGAGTTATGATTGGCCCGGATACTATTGGCTGATAACAGTTAATGATAAAAAACCCCAATTCAAAGGAATCGCCGCAATTCATAGAAATTTAATACGTTGCTTAAAATAAATTTGCTCATTATGCGATTTCCCTAGACAAATTGCAAACGAGAGGTATTCAGATCGATCTGTAACATATACAACGTAACTCCACCTTTTTATATTACAAAATATGTGTACAGACTAACCTGGATAAGCAAGAGAGTTCTAAGGGGCCGCGATATTTTTCACGCATTTTAACCCGAGTTTCTTGCTTATGGAGGTCGTCGGTCGGGATCGGACAATGACTTTCGCTTATAGAGGTTCCTCTCTTATCCGGTTATCTCTTATTCAAGTTCAAATGTATTCTATACATTACAAGTTGTTTTAACGTGGACACTTTTAGTTGATAGTATTTAAAAAATCCTCACCATTTACTGTGATGAAAACTCCTTTTGTTAGATACGATGATATACCGATGTATATTTTAGAAAACGCTGGCTGCGTTTTTTTTAAATGATCAAGAACCACATCCGCCTCCATACTAAGTTCAGGAAAGAAGAGAGTTGCACCTTCTAGTAAACATCTTTTCTTTGCGTTTTCCCATGATCTTGGTATCGTGTGTATTTTGTAAAAGCTATTAGTGTCTTCAAAATATGTATAATCGTCTCTAAAATATTTTTCCGATTGTTGTCCTTCTAAAATTTGCGTTATTTATCAAAATTTGTTAATATAAATTTAATCAATAGCTATATTTACTACTATGTTAATATATCATGAATATGATTAGCTAAACTCACCAGTTGTTTGCAACACTGAATTTATAATCAATAAAATGAATAAATAATAAACTGTTTGAGCCATAATATTATCTTTATACCGGCGCTTCGCCGGAGCCCGATGCTGCAAGCGTCCGTCGGCAGCGAGTTGTTTTATGAAGTGAATGAGTAAGAAGTAACAACAAAATATACAGGAAAATCCACGACAAAAATATACATAATATGTTGAATATCTTGATTCGGTATTCTAAACATTTTTTCTCTCAATTAGAATAAACAGAGGCGTGGCTTTAGAAACTGTCAGCCATAAATCACTCCTAAATTCATCAAACTAATTTAGAGTAATTGAAAATGTTATAATTTTAAAAATAGCTTAGCTTTATCTTTAGATTCTGTTTCCAGTTGGTTTCTTCTATGTCTTATTTTAACTTCGATATATGAAAATAATAGTAGCATTGAATGTGTTAAAAGTAGAGATACATCATGATATCATGTCAACCTTAGAAGTTCACTTGTGGTTACAAAACTACCCGACTTAAAAATAACCTTAATTTTTTTATGAAATATCGAGTCTGTTCAGATTACCTTAAGCACATTTTGCCTTATTAAATTTATGGAAGCTTTATGAAAATTCTATATCTTACTTATGTGAATCTTTAGATGGGTGGATGTTTGTTTGAACAGCTGAACGAATCTCGATGCAATTTGGCATACATATAGAACGTTGTCTGGAAGAACATATAGGCTACTAATTAAGTTTTATTTTAAGTCCGTGCGGACGGAGTCGCGGTATACAGCTAGTAGTAATATAAAACACAATAGGGACATAACGATTTATTAAAATAAGTTAGTAGAATGTAGAAAGTATATGCTGATCCAAACTTTATAGCGGCTCGTAAGTTCGCGCTAATATTACCACTATTTTAGGTTTTGGCAAAAAGTAAAGGCAAGTAGAGTAGGACCACCCATACCTCCGTGTGATTAGTTCAAATTGCAGTAAGCCCCATCTACGAATACGCGCACGCTAAAAGTTGGCGTGAACTTTCAATCTTATCATACAGTGTTAATATTAATACAAAATAACTGATAACAGACATATTTTTGGTTAATTTTGCACTTCATTGATTTTATCATCAACTAAATGTGGTGTTATATATTTTTCACATATGAAAAAACATTTGTGAGTCTCGCAGCCGATGTCATTAAGAGTTCCATCGTAGAACATTGAGCCACATCTCTCGTTCTCTCCACCGTCGGGCTGGCCTCCTCCCCACACCGCGTAGCCTGCCTCCTCCAGTGTATCACCTACAATAAAAACAATTATAAGAATTTTCTACTATTAAATACAGACACTAGAATGCTAGTTGAGATAATAGCGATTTTGAAAAAAACATGCCTGTGAATGTTCTCCAATCCTGTTTAAATTTATCGTAGTTGAAGCCTAAATGTACAGCGCCTCGTAAATACGACCCGTGTACTTCGTCTTTGGGCGCGCTTGCAGTGATATTAACGAGGTGGGCCGCCTCTTCCTGCGAGTTTATCATGGTCAGGGATGCCAATTCAGCATCGCATGCCTCCACCGCGTCTCTCCATGTCAGCGGATGTAAATGGAACTTGTAACATCTGCCCAGATCTGCGTTGTATTTGTAATCTGAAAAAAGTTCACTTTTACTAACATTATAAATGTAATAGTTTAGCTGAATGTATATCTCTAACCAAATCTGTATCACACTTCTCACAGAGATAGATTACAGTCTGGAGCAAATGAGCGGTAGGAAGACCGAGGTGATCAATGAAAATAACAGTGGTAGAGCCCGCTTTAATATCTTCGCACGAATTGGCCCGACTCGCCCGGTGAAATAACACGACCACACAGAAGACAGGCGTGAAGTGGAAGCAATTCTGCGTTTCGTCTGATAAGTGTGCGTCCCGGAGGCCTAATTTAGTCCTTTTTCCCTTTCCACCCTTTTTCTTTTGGGGAAGGGATGGGAAGTGGAAGTGGACTTTCCGGATGAGAGGATGCATGGAAGGGGAAGATATTTTCTTTCTGTGCATCCCCTCCTCCGTCGATTAAAGGTAGGCAACGCATATGCGATTGCGTATGTCTATGGGCAACAGTCACTTCGCTATTACAGCGATTTCAAGTGACCGCTCGCTCGTTTGCCACTTTATGATATATAAAAAAAGACACCCATGGCCATACAGAAAACCAGAGGAACAGAAGAGCGTTGCCGGTCTTAACATTGGGCGATAGTTTTTAAAACATGCCCGCATATGTTGTCTCGGAAATATCAACCCATACCTAAATATGGTGTGTTGCATTCTTCGTTCCATTTCAGGGACTGCAAAGTTTTCTTGCAAATAAACGGATACCTATTGGAGCATTTCTCATCATTTAGTGTTCCGTCTCTGCGCAGTATGACGCAGTTTTCTTCACCATTGTTATCATTCGGTTCTCCAGGACCCCATACGTTGTAAACATCTCTAACTGCGACCCCTAGAGATTTACACGAGTGCAATAATGATTAAAAAATATAGTATGGAATTTTGTCTCACTCTCGTCTCAATTATTCTACAAGGAAAATAATTCTTATTTATCACAACTTCAAATATAGAGGTCTTATCCGTTTCTCATTCGCTGCACTGTGTTTATTATTGTCACAATTAGAGGCTTATTATTTTCCTTATATGTCATCATTTACTTCTATTAAAATTTTGATAAAACTAAAGTATTTATATGTGGCATAAAACAAATAATAAACAGGAATAAAACTATGTAAATATTACAGTAGTTCCAGTATGTTTCAGTTGTACTGGCTAAAGATTTTTATAAAAATACACTCTCGTACTTGGTAAAGAACTGAGTGACGTTTACGCCTTTGAACAAAAAAAAAACATTGAATCATGTTTACCGTCAATAGTCTTGAACACTCCTTTAGCAAGATGCGATGATATACCTACGTACACCCATCCGAACGTAGGCTGTGTGTTATTCAAATGATCAAGAACAACGTCAACTTCATTCTCATCTTCGGCATAGAATAATCTTGCACCTTCGAGAGCACATTTTGCTTTTGCTTTCTCCCATGATCTGTACATCGTATGTATTTTGTAGAAACTCCTCGTTTCTTCCATATATTTGTAATCTTTTCGAAAGAATTTATTTTGCTGTTGTCCATCTACAATTAGATTTAAAATTAACTAGCTGTCGCCCGCGACTCCGTCCGTGTTAATGTAATAAAAAACTTAATATATAGATAAGCTAAATAAAAAGCAGCTCTTCAAGGCATAAATTCGATAAAAAATGAATAAATATGTCCGTCTCCTGGTTCTAAGCTACCTCCTCACCAATTTTCAACCATATCTGTAAAGCCGTTCTTGAGTTATAAATAGTATAACTAACACGACTTTCTTTTATATATAGATTAGTTAATGAATGATGATAACTACTTCGGTATAACTATATGTTTTACTTACCTACATATAGGATGGATTTGAAATAAAATAAAATAAATAAATAGTATCCCTGCATAATTGTAGCTAGATGCAAGCGTGCACTAACTATAAGGTTTCGTATAGTAATGATTGCTTGCAATAACTTAAATGTAATATCAACAGGAAAACAACAAACTTAACCTACGTCCTGTGTTAGTTCTAAGTTGTTTTCCACTAGGTATGTAAGCTAAAATTATCTCAAGTAATAAGCGCATGTAGAAAATCGTCTCTCTGTTGTCGCCCTCATTTTCGGTATCCGAAATGCTTGGGTATTGCAGAAATTTCAATGGAAACGGTTGCTCTATTGGAGCGTCGGTGCCTCAGGGGTCAAGCACTTGACTTGCAATCTGCAGGTCCTGGGTTCGAATCCCACCATGTACCAAAATGTTTTTCGATTTACGATTTACATATGTACATTTAACCGACGTTCTTACGGTGATGGAATACATCGTGATGCAACCTGCACATATCTGAGAAAAAAATCAAAGATACGCGTAAAGTCAACCAACCCGCACTTGGCCAGCGTGGTTGATTATGGCCTAGTTGCAGCTCCGAGCCTCTCGGTGGGGTCGTATTTTGAGCTGATGATGACGGTTGCTCTATTGACCTTCTTTATGTAAGCAGTAGATGAATGGATGTCACACTTGGATTCCTGACTTGTATAGTGACCATACATCTCTTCCAGATGGTTACGATGCGTTATTATTATAATTATACTCTAGTATAGTGAGTACAGTATAGTTTAAAGTCAAAGTATTGGACTAGTATCAGCGGTACATTATATTCCATTCTATATGAATGCACACCGGTACTGTCCCGTTGTAACATCGGTAAAGACGCGTTGTAATCGTGTTGCTTTTTCGTGCTATTGGATTTACTATAATTTTTGTTTTGTTAATGCTCTGATATTTGGGTAAAAAATTTATAAAAATAATAAAATTATGTTACATCGAAGTTATTTAATTAACTAAATATTTAACGGTACATATAAAAATAAGGTTTTTTTACAAAGTTATCGCTCCTCAGACATTCTTTAAATTGTTACTGGATACAAAGAATAGAGGTTTATTATATATATAAATATATGTACAAATTGTATATTAAATATTTATTCGTATAACATTCTGAGTATTAATATATCAAGTCTTAAAAAGTACCTACGTTAAAACTTTACAAGTCAAAAAGACCGAACGCTTGTAAAATCATCTTTTGGTGCTGAATTTTTCGTGTGACTAAAATAAAATTTGTTATTATATTCCAAATCTATCATCAAACAAGCTGAGAAGTTCATTTTCTTTTTCGCATATGAAGAAGCATCTGTGTCCTTCGCAACCTATATCGTTCAGGTGTCCGTTGTAGAACATGGAGCCGCAGCGTTCGCTTTCGCCGCCGTCAGGCTGGTAGTTGCCCCACATCGCGTACCCCGCCTGCTCCAATGTCTCGCCTGGAACACAAAAATATTCTTGACTTTAGTGGGTTTTGATAAACAATCGAATCAACTGAAGATCCTGAATTTATACAAAGGTGATGTTGAATTTTTTCTTGGTCGAGCGGTAGAGGTCAGGTACTTTAGCCTATTGTTTGGTAGCGTGTTAATTTATTTAGAGACAAGCCGGAATGGTACGAACAACGCTCGGCATTCGGAAGACAAACTTACCAATAGTTTGTTTCGATCTAAAGTGACTGCCGAACGTTGTTCGTACGGTTCGTTATGTCTAAATGAACCTTAACAGTCAATGTGTTGTACCTGATAGGTGATTAATTAGTTTACTGAATAAAATAGAAATAAAAAAGATAATTCTTTCCAAATAAATCCATACCTGTGGTTGTCCTCCAATCTTCTTCAGTAGTATCATAGTTGAAGCCCAAATGCACGGCGCCCCGTAAGTACCAGCCTTGTACTTTGTCCTTAGGCGCGCTGGCAGTGATGTTGACGAGGTGAGATGCCTCCTGTTGCGAGTTGATAATGGCTAAGTACGCCTGCTCTGCGTCGCACGCCTCCACCGCCTCTCGCCACGTCAACGGGTGCAAATGGAATTTGTAGCATCTGCCCAGATCCACATTGTATTTGTAATCTAAAACGTGGAATTCATGAAAGTTAGCATTCAAATACTTTGTTTGTAATGTCATATTACTCATCAGAGTCTTTAATATTTACATATAGTTCGGTTAAGATTTCGTATTATTATCGTACGTAGTATACATGCATCTTATGTTCATAAAAGAACTACCATTTAAAGCGCCAATAAATAATAAGTAATACATTTTATTCTTGGCAAAGATTTTAGTGTTGTGTGAATAAATTTGTGTCGTTATCACGTAAACACTTGGCTGTAAGGACAATCTCGCGACCCCGGTGACCTCAGCGATAAGAGCATTGGTTTGCACATTATGAGTATACAGAAGCCATGTAAAGAATCATAACAAGCTAAAGTGTCTGTTTATGAAGACATATCGTGTGCAAATTATACAAAATATTGAGAATCAGTTACGGTGTAATTCATCAAACTGCTGTCCACTCAGTGCTCTATCAAGATGTCAATTTTACGTATTTTGTGTGCTAAATTTTTTGACACTATCTAGATTTGTGAAGTACCTCTTTATTTTAAATGGAAGACGCCAGCGACAATTAGTTGAACGAATTGGCCGACTTGCCCGGTAAAATCCAACTACACACTTCTGTGTAGTTGGATTCTACAGACAGGCAGACTAAGCAGATTAAAGGCAAGGCGTGCTAGATGCCTAATGTTAGTCCCCTTCCTACCTCTTTTCGATGAGGAAAGGGTGGGTAGAGGAGGAGATTTGACGAAGAAGGGGACGCATAGAAAGAAGATATATTCTTTTGTTGTATCTACTTCTCCGTCGATTAAAAGTAGGCAACGCACATGGGTAGTGGTCGCTTCGCTGTTTGGTGTATTCAGGTGACCGCTTACTCTTTTGCCAACTTATGAATTATACATACTCGTACCTAAATAAGGTGTGTTGCACTCTTCGTTCCATTTCAATGATTGCAGAGTCTTTTTGCAAATAAACGGAAACTTGTTGGAGCATTTCTCGTCATTATAAGTACCCTCTTTTCTCAATATCACGCAGTCCTCTTCACCGTTGGCATCATTTGGCTCCCCGTGACCCCATCTGTTGTAAATATGCCGAATTGCGACTCCTGCAAATGTCCAAAAGAACAAAGGTTAAACTACTTTGTGGGTAAAATTGGTTTGAAAAAAAAATATTCGTAAACATGACAGATAAATACAGTAACCGTGAGTCCCTGTCATTATAATGTCTGTATAAAATATCTGTTTTTCAACCTTGACAAAACAGAGATAACATTATGTTTTAAACGGGGAATTTGGTCTCAGAAACCCCAGCATATATTCCTGGATATTGGAAGAAAGTGTGATAACTCAGTATTGTATCATCGCACCGTAAGGGGTCTCTGATTACCCCTGTGAGTAAGCTTTTAGCTTGTTTTTTTTACTATTAAAGGTAAAGTTAATTTATCTGATCGCTACCTATTTAAATTTATTTCTTTTGTTTGCAAAACAACATAATATCATACAGGTGATTCCCCGTTGTAACCTTGATTTTTAAGGTAAGGACTCGGAATTATAACTAAAAGACTTTTCACATTATCAAGTTGCTAATTTATAACGGGTTTGTACGATAGGGAAAGTACCGTAATACCTGTACGTAGTTATTTTATTGGTTTTATCCTATTGTGGGAAACAAACAGGTTTCCTCAATTTAATTTAATAAATTTGGATTTAAAGTGGGTATTTATAATTCGTATTAATCCGTGCATAAGCTAAGTAGTATCAACAATCGCGTAAGCATACATCATCATCAGCTCACTATACGTCCCCACTGAGGGGCTCAGAGCCTACCCTAAGTTAGGGATGACTAAGCCAACCACACTGGCCCAGTGCGAGTTGGTTGACTTGACACATATCTTTGAATTTCTTCGCAGATATGTGCAGATTGCATCACTATGTTTTTCTTCAAATGTAAATCAAAAACACATTGGTACATGACGGGATTCGAACCCAAGACCTGCAGATTGCAAGTCAAATGCTTAACCCCTCAGCCACCGAGCTCTATTAATATATAAGCATACATTATTGAAATCTATATGACGTCAAAAGTTAGCAAAATAAAACCACACCTGCGGTAAGTCTCAAACTGGTTATCATATGGCTAGATTTTTAATTAATCGTATCGCACACAATCAAAGTTAACTTATTCATTACGTCATTAAGTTTACATACATGACCGTGAAGATAATACATGCAATCTTACCGTCTACAGTTGTGAAGACTCCTTTTGCAAGTTTCGATGATATTCCAACGAATATCCATGCGTACATAGGTTGTGTCTCTTTCAAATGAGCGAGCACTACATCCACCTCGTTTTGGTCTTCAGGATAGAAGAGTGTTGCACCTTCTAGAGCGCATCTCTTCTTTGCTTGCTCCCACGTCTTTTGTATTGTGTGTATTTTGTAAAAACTGCTCGTACCCTCCAAATATTTGTAATCATCTCTAAAATGTTTAATTTGCGGTTGTCCATCTAAAATTTGATTATCATCACAAAACAGATTATAAACACAATCGAGGTCACAATGATGTTTTAAACAGATAATAATATTACTTACAAGTGAATTGTAGAACTGAATTTATAAACAATAAAATGAATAAATATTTTACGAATGCCATTATGTGCGTATGCTCGCGATGTGAGCGTGCGCGAGCGACGGACCGTCTTATCCGAATGAGTAAAAAGCAGATTCACAATCGAGCGTCGTTGCCAATTAAACAAGATTAACAGGAAAACTTTACATAGAACAGCGGCATTTGAACAAATATTTTAACTTTGAAATTATAATATCATTTTCCAGAGTTTTATTACACACTAGACATACGGATGTTTGAGCGTTGTACTCCGCAACTGCATAAATAACTGTATATTAAAAATGTATTCGTCATAATTGCAGTCAGGTGTATGTTTTTGGTAATCATTTGATACAGGAAGAATACTTTCTGGATTTTACCAACCTGCCTACTTACTTTTAGGGATATAATGACGTCTAATTTAATGTTGGAATAGCAAATATTGTTATAGTATTTGCATAAAAGCGTTAAAAAACACGAAATAAATATACCAAATATATCTTTAAGAACAAAGTATAGGTAGTACAGGTTTTATGTTAGTTAATGAAACAGAGCTTGTTCCTAACTCTACTATCTAGTGGGCCCTTAATTTAAAAAAAAAATGGAATGCTTAGTCTAGATTTACAGAATAGGATTATAAAGTTCTAAGAAAAAATATACGTTTAAAAATAGAACGTACGATATATTATTACTATTATAAAACTGGAAATTGAATACAAAAAAGCAGTTTCTTATTCGGACTTCCAGTTCAATTGTTTGGTTTTACCCGATATATCGGAAAGACCGATGCGTCTACCTGTTGCCTTTTCTTCCCAGTCTTACGTCAGATATTTTATAAGAATTTGCATAGTTTTATGTAATTTATTAAAAGACTAAATGTCACCCGCGATACCGTTCGCGCAGAATTAAACATAAAACATAATTGGTAGCCTATGTATTATTCCGGACTGTGTGTCTACTCGTATATACATGCCAAATTTCATCCGTCAGCCGTCCTGGAGGAACCCTCAAACATACGCCCATCCATCTATCTATCCATCCATCCATTCAATCATTCGCATTTATAATATTAGTAAGATAAATAATTTTATTTTAGATAAAATGATACATGATTGGAATAGTTCATCAACTGTAGATATGTATGCCGTAGGAAGTAAGGTGAATTTTGAATTCTTCCATGATGTTATACTGTGTTTGGCTTCGGTGCCTACTCGAGTGAAGGTGACTATGCCTTAGTCAACCACGCTGGCCCATGGTGGATTCATTAACTTCCAACATCTTACATAAATAAATATTCATTCATTCATCCTCGCAGATTTGATATATAAAATTCGAAAGTTAATAACACGTTGATTCGTAGCAGAAATTGAACCTGGACGGATATATTTTGGTCCTGTCCGTCCACAACAATCATGTCGGTATGTATAGTTAAAGTAACTTAACTTCCCTGTCTTCTCTTCTTTTATTTTACCTAAATATATCTTCTTTAGTTATTATAATATATTTTAGATGTATTTTCCAGTTAAATGCTTGCATTAAGCCCCCCCCAAAAATAATTATAATACGACATTGATATTCATAAATATTCTAACAACTTTTATTAAAGATTTTAGACATGGCCTCCAAATATCGTCTGATATTTAATGCCGCTCGACGTCATGTGTGCGTACCATATTTTGTAATAACAAGTTTTTGTCATATTTTAATATAGTAGCTAAAATTTATAAGAAAAAAATCCTTTACGTATATTAAAAACTAGTTTTTTTATTAATTTACAATTTATTTTTTTGACATTGTTATGATATATTTGATAGTAAAACGAGGTTATTTCGAGGACTATGAGGTTTTCTGAATTTGTATACAATATCCAAATGCACGGATGAAGCGTCTATTTGTTGAGCTTGTTGCGATTAATTGTATTCTATTTTTGTTAGCTTTAAACATAACAATATGACATCTCTCAGGATAATGTATAATGTCAGAGTTTATCATGAATGTACTATAAGTAGTTCACAGTCTTAAACAGTTTATAAATAAGAAATGATTTATAAACAAAATCAATATTTTTAATAATAATTATTTGGCACGAGCACTGGCTTAACGATTGGAATGATGCGTTTGACTTTTTCTCTAATAAACACTTATGCATATTTTTGTAAATTTTGACCAAAGGATGCAAACAGCACTTATTTACGCGTTAATAAAATTAATAAGTAGTCTATATGTTCTTCTATTCTAGACTATGTCCTAAGTCTGTGTCTTATTTCATCAAGATCCGTTGAGCTGTTCCTGAGATAGCATTTAACAAACTTCCATCCATCCATCTAAACGTTAGCATCAATAATATTAGTAAGACTAGTAAGATCTATTACGATCAATTGACAGATTTTGAAAAGCAAAGTTCAAGATTTATAACATCATAACTTTTACATATCCAAACTTTCGTGAGACATTATACTAAACTGATATATAAACACGGCTAAACACTCATGTATATTCGTCCCCCGATGGGCTCAAAACTAGTCGGTGCCGCCACCGGACGAATATACGTGAGTGTTTAGCCGTGTTTATATATCAGTTTTTTACATATCCCTTTAAAATTAATTGCTACTTAAAGGTAACGTTGTTTACCGAATATGATTCATCAATAGAAACCACAATAGGGTTACTTGTTTATTGAAAATTATATTGTATGGTAATATCGTTCAGTTTGGATCAAGTTTGATTTAATTGGACACATCGACACAGGATTTTCCGACAGCAATTTCCTCGAGCGCAATTATAAGCTACAATTTAATGCGATTATTTAATTTTAGTTTTTTTATCTCTGCATCGTTTACCTACCTCGTTGCCGAGTCTCTTGTTGATTTTATGTTTTTCTTCCATGGTGTTCTGCACGAGGGTGGCTATTGATAATTGTAACACTTGAGCATTTTATAGCATGAAGTAATACATTTGACAGAGCTGGACGCCAGCAAAATAAGTTGTTGCACGTATGGCCGGACTCGACGGTGAAGTACCACACAGAAGACAGGCGTGAAGTGGAAGTAACTTCACGTTTCGTCTTGTGAGAGTACATGGAGTACATTTTAGCCCCTTTTGCCTTCTCAACCCTTTTTAATAAGGAAAGGATGGGAAGGGGAAGTGGATTTGACGGAGGAGGGAACGCAGTGAAAGGGGAAATATCCTCTTTCTGTGCGTCCCCACATCCGTGAATTAAAGGTTGGCAACTCATCTGCGATTGCTGATGTGAATTTTGGTGGCCGTTTGCTCGTTTGCCACCTTGTGACATATAAAAAATATAAAGAGAAAAGAAATAAAAGACAAAATTATTTTATATCGAGGTGTAAGTTTATTCGCATAACAATTTTTCATACAAATTTCCTCGTTTTTGTACACACCCTTTCATGGTTTTGTTTTGTAGTTATCTTTTATAAAAGTTGACTCTCTAAAATTTAACATATCGTCATGTCTGTTCCCTATATCTAGTTCGCTTCACCGCAGCGGTTAAAACATATAATAAAGGATTCACTAAGGCAAAAGTATTATTAGGGGGAAATAATTATTACCGCGGACAGAGATAGTATAACGAAATGATATACAAGTAAAATGTGTTTCGATGAACACGGAATGGGCTCTTATCGCGTAGTATCAGCCTTCCTTGGTCGATCGACGTGGCACTTGGCGCGAGGGGCAGCGCGCCCCGCCCCGCGCCGCACGCAGCGCTACCTCTACCCTAACAACAGTTGTAACGGAAATTGCACAATCGCACTGGTATCGGCGGACTGGCCACGAGGCTGCCAGACACACTTCATAAGAAAAAAATTCCTCACTAAATAACAACTAAAATCACTTTAAAATCAATTCAAAATGTACATTATTCAGCTTAATTCAAGTTAAACAAATTCTAATCTGCTACAAAAAGTTAGCAAATTTAAATACAAAGATCACCTAGTCCGTCTATGTAAAAATTAATCATGACTTAAGTATTAGTGAAACAGGAGTGAGCGTCGCGTCAGTCGCGGCTCACTCACTAATTATTATGCTTGCAATTGTACATTCAACGAATTAATAGCGAAACGTATTGCGTTGACACATTAAAACTAAAAAAATGACTGTACATTTTATATTTTATATGTAAATATTTGTACATATTGCACTCTGAAGTAACAAAAATTATTAAGAAAAAAAAAATCTATCGAAACGAAGAATATATACGCAGAACAAAACGTATATCAGTAAATACAAAGTCAATGAAAATTATTTTGTAATCACAATTTTTTCGTAGCTCATATATTAGTCTAAGTCCCTATCGCTTACAAAGCTTACAAAAGATAAATACAGAGGTCATTTACAAAAAAAAATATACTTCTACCCAAATAATATAAAAATAACAACAGCCATCTGTACTTTCTTAGATGAATAAAATTAAACATATGTCAAACATATGACAATAAAATCTAAAGGTACCTATATACAAATTTTTAATGGACACAGCGGACCCCTACCCCGTGGTCCTCGCATCGGTAGACTGGACGTGCCACGCTTGGTCACCGCGCACTATTCCTCCTTCCCCCATTGTAAAATAAAAAGTTTTGAAACAGTATTGAAAAAGTACAACCGGTGCGACCCCGCGCCCTGGACAGCGGACCAACACTAATCGATGTCATCGCAGCGTCAAGCGATAACTCTTTAATAATTAACAGTGATATAAAATGTTAAAAATTTAACTTTGTTGTACCATGATTTTACCTTTGTACATATTGTCTATCTTGATAGGAAACTGATAAAAGCTGGCATCTGATCCCCGGCCTGACGCTGCGTCATTCAGTCACGGGGGAAAACCAGTGGCCGACAGTGAAGTGTGCCAGTGTCCAAGGCGCAAGGTTAGACATGCCCCCTCCTCTCCCTGCTCGTCCCTCATCCGTCGTCCGTCTATATCTGCCTCGCTCGGATCTCGCATCTCAGCAAGCGATATAAACTTATCATCGTACTTATGTTTCATTATCAGCTAAGACACAAATTATATTAATGTATTCCCATTACTTATTACGTTTCTCGTTAAGAGAATTAACATTAGATCCTTAATAAACCTATTATAATTTCGAAATCGAATAATATGTATCAAATGCGATTGGCTGTGCACCGACGGGGTCCGTATACTATGAAGCTACACGTAATGACTCCTACGCCTCGAATGATGTATAATAATTTACTTATCGAATGGCAGTAATAATCGTCACTAGCCGAGATCGCCTCGGTGTGGCGTACATTGCGTCTCGGCTATAAGGCAACTTACGTAGCGCAAACACATGACGGAACATGCACGCAATCTACGGATCACAACTCAAACGTTTCGTAGAAAAACCCCTCGCTATGACCGCAAACATACCGGACGCACCATCAAATTACGTTTATAATGGCAGTGTGATTGTTAATACGCCCCCGGCTCTATACAGCAGAGACCTAAGACACTCGAGTGACATTTTGTGCTTTATTTATTAATTCGCCTACTGCTAGAGTAAAAATAAGTGTATAATTCGAAAAAATGTGCACTCGACCTTGCGAAGACGTAAACACTTGTAAGCAGGAGAAATTACAAAAAAAATTACAGTGAAATTAATTTACTTAATAACATCAACTTTTAAAATCATTTTTGATCGGCAGAAAGACAAGATATTCAATCCTACAATAGTAATATGAATCACTTACAAGTGTCACATTTTTATGAATATTTGATAATACTAATTACATTATTTAAGTCAAGAACTCTGCCTATACCGAACGCTTACATCTTCGCAAAGTGGAGTGCTAAAGCATTCTAGCGCCGGTCCGCGGTGCAAGCCCCATCGTCACGCACAAATCTATACGTATTAAGAAATGCATTTCCAAAAAACAACAAACATACAGATCATGTAAAATTTCTACACCACAATATTAAATGGCATGTAAAGAAGACACATTCAACACGCACCAAACAGACTCTTAGTTTACTAGTACATTACGAGTAATGGATGTGATACATTACGCACTGTGATGCTGATGACGTCACTACACGCACACAACGACTCCACGATCCGACAGACTGAAGGCTTCGAGACGGACACATGTCGAAGAGAAGTACTTCTCAGGTTATCACCCATTGTCTTAGGTGAGTGAAAATTTATAAGCCCAAGTAATAAACAAATCTAGGTTATAAAACGATCCATGTCACGAAAATAGTTATATCTTTAAACGTGTACAATTTAAAATATAGTTTTTTTTTTAATTATCTTGTGAAAACGTTATATTAACATTATAACTCTTTTCGTTTCAAGACGCTCACGACTTCGATTTGAATCGCATTGCCATTTATCATTCACCTAGGACAATAGGAAACTAAAATGGCGACTGACAATTTAAATACATAGATAGAATAGATTTCTGCAAAATCAAAAAATTAAAAAGCATGCACTTTTTTATAATGATGTAAGATAATTGTGTACGTTAGTTTCTTTAGATTATATCTTAATAAACTTTTTTTACACTAACACTTATTTGACATTTAGTTCGTATGGTAAACAAATACATTGATTAATAGGTTTAAAACGAAAATATTAATATAAAAGTGGCTTATATATAACAGAACGATATGACAAAAGTCTACAATTGCATATAGGCATCATTTAGCCACTATACATCCCCACTGAGGGGCTCGGAGCTTACCCTAAGTTAGTATACCAACCCGCAGTGGCCCAGCATGGTTGACTACGGACTGTCACTCCTAACTTAGGGTAGGTTCTGAGCCCCTCAGTAGGGATTTATAGTGAGCTGATGATGATGATTAAATGTATTATGCGATAGTTTTTTTGACTAACCTTAATCCAATGTAAATAAGTTTCTTTGGGAAATCTGAAGTTCTTTCTATGTATTTAAATAATTGTGAGAAACAGAAATATGCATACAACTCTTATGTACTGAGATCGTTTAATTTTAGGATATAACACTGACTGATGTATCATTGTCGATGTAAATATGTAAAGGGAGATAAGGCATATTGTACACGAGTGAATCACGGGCAGTTTTAATGCATTGTACAACAGGTGTACTTTAAATTCAGACATAAAAGATTCAGCATTTTAAAAATCAAATTTATAAGTTTAACAATGAAATTGATATTAAGAAGTGTAAATTTGATTTGAAAAAAACTGATTTGTTAAAACCCTGAATATAAGTTAAAAACCTTTTTTCATGTATTATTTGAGAGACAGATGCAGTTTTGTTGGACATCAAATTACGTGCATGTATACTATCGATCTATTTTTACATCTATTCCAATATTGTTCCCATAGAGTAAGCTCGGCCAAACATCGTAATATAAATACGTACAAAATAAAATCTTATAAAGGTAAAGGAGCTGCCATTTCTTATGAAACTATAAATAAAAGAAGTTTTCTTTAGTTCTAAACATTAATTAGAATTTGTCAATTATAAATACAGATTAAATAGAAATAAATATTAATTTTGGACAGATTTATATGGGCTCTACATTTCTAACTTCGAACCTATAACAGCTGCCTGATAACATGCACGCAAAATGATGTCGTAAGTAGAAATATTAAGTAATTGTGTTTATGTAGAGTAACGACTGGGAACTGTAGAACATCTGCCTCTGGAAGTTTCCTTTACAACGTTAAGAATATTCTATGTTATTTAAGCTTATGGCGATACTTATTGTAAATTGCACAAACTGGTACACAATGTTGCCTTCAAACAATTAAACTCGACTATTACACGAACGTCCGGTATTGAACAGATAACTTATGATATCTTAGTGAATGGAACAAACAATCTAGTGTAATGACTGAATGCAGCGTGAATATAAAAGCCGCTGTTAAACGCGATATCCTAACTATGTAACACGGACAGACAGAACTTGATTAGTTCATGTTTTATATTGATAGTAATAACACATAAATCGGCCTACATTTCAACATGTAATAATTGTAATCACAGCAATAATAAATTATAAAAATAAATGGACAAGTAGACACGCAAGGGACACGGGCACAGGACATTGGAACATTAGTCGAAACTAAAGCTGACATGACACTCAACACGCCTTATATAAACTATATATAAACTAGGGATGATCGATTATAAGCGCTGATTCTTATTTTTTGTTATATCGCATCGCAAAACCGATGTCTTGAACACATCAAAGCCAGTAACATCAATAGAAGTAACCAGCAAACCCAATCGAGGTAATTTAAAATAATCAAATTTCATCATTTCATATTAAAATAATTCATCATTAAATCTATATAAATATATACATGTATATAAATACTTAATAAATATTTGGCCATCGATGCCTTTTATTCGATTAGCGTGCATTTTTATCGATATATAAATGTGAATGACCTCGATCATCCCTAGAGTAAACAAACAGTCGCGATCCAGCGAACATCACTGAAATAACTTACGTTATCCTAACCGAAGGCGCAATATATTATATGTATAGATAAATCGAAAAGGTGTTTTACCCACAATTTTGGTAAATAAACAAAAACTATCAACTTTTTCATCCAATAGAATCTTTTCATATATTATTTTCATTTATAACTCTCGTAGTGTTCGTATGTGTAATTTAGGAGGTGTACTTATCGAAGTATTAGAACAGTGGTATCCGAGTGACCAACCGATCCAGCCGCTAAGGAAAACGTGGAGGCGACACGCGGCGACTCGCGGCGGCCGAGGCGAGACCCGGTCGCTTCGGCCGCTCCGGTCGCCGCCGGGGCCACTAAAACTATCAACACTTAATATATTCTCGAACGTTCAACAGCACATATATTCACTAATCTCTCGCACGTCGTCGGTCACCGAATACGCACATCTCGCACCCGCGGTCCTTATAAATACTCCATCACGTCCCATCGTTCCAGTGTCCGAGCACTTCACTAAAACTAGCCAGTCTATGAGCGTTCTCTCCTCAGTGGCGGCGTCGCCTCGGCGCTGCAGAACACGGTCCCTCCCCCGCGCATTGCTGACACCCCTCACCTTCCCCCATCTCCCCATGACGTCCCTTCGGTGCCCTTACCATATGTTCCCTTTATATCATCACCCAAGATAAAATCTTGCATACGACGTATTTATTCATTTCATTTATTTTTGTCTACAGCTTCTTTACCTTGAATTAGAACGGCAAGAATTCTATGTTCTAATCCTATGGAGTTTTATCATAGACAGGAAATCCGGTCTCCCAATCGTTGCGTAACACATGGTAAGTCGGTACGTGTCCATCGAGCTCGTTGGGCGGGGCTCAGAGGCCGCAGGGCGTGGTGCGCGGCGCGGCGCGGGGGGCGGTGCTCTCGCGGGGCCGCTAGAGCTCCGTACGCGCGTCGGTGACGGGCGGAGGCTGCGTCGTCGAGACGTCCGCCACGTCCCAGATCTCCTCGAGGAATGGCGGCAGCTTCCTGTTCTTGAGCTTGAGCGAGATGCACATGTTGGAGTTCTGCATGCCCAGCGTGCGCAGCTCCGACAGCACGGACAGGATCTTGCCGTATATGACGGAGCAGCGGGGCGACGCGCTGTGCTGGTTCACCACGTACATCTTCAGCGTGTTCAGGTAGTACCGCTGTATCTCCTCTACCAGCTTCGGCTGTTCCAGCCCCGGCCGGTCTGTAACATGAAACATATCTCTCTTTATAAGTAGCCAACAATATCTAAAATTAGAAGAACTAATAAGCTTTTTAAGATAATTTAATTAACTAGTGAAGATATGTCTATAAGCTGACCTGAGAATATAACGATGGCGGTGAGGAGGGCGTAGTGGACGTTGTCGAGCGACATGGTGTAGATGCAGCGGCAGAAGTGCAGCAGATCCTCGATGACGTAGGCCATACCGGCCTTGCGGTAGTTGTCGCGCGTGTACGCCTTGTTGTTGGCAAACAGCACGCTGTCAGTTTCGGGGTCGTAACGCCGCGCCACTCGCAGCATCATCACCTCGCTCGAACACGCCTGATAAATAAAACTATACGTTAAAAAAATAAGCGAAAATTTATCAAATATTTTTAAGGTGATGACAAGAAGCAGACAAAAGCTAAGCTAGCTTACGGTTAAATTTTGGGTGCTGTTAGGTTTTCCCACAAACTTCAATATCACTTAAGAGAACTGAAACCTAAGTGTTTACCAATTTTGAAATATACCTTTAATAATGTAATTTGATCAGGCTGTGAGATCTTGGCGAACCCTGGCAAGCCCTTAGCGAACTCTACGATCAGCTGCACTGTGAGAATCGTCATCTCTGTGATCTGACGGAAGGGTAGGTCCGATTCTTCCTCGTCCTCTTCACCATGCTGCCACGTCTGAAACCCCATATTGCTTGATACAGTACTTAATACAAAACTTAATATTTTGAGCGTTAATAACTTAATGAACCATTGAGTTATTAATGGATTGCTTTAAATTTGACCACATTATATGTAAATTTTTAACATATTCCTTATGTATTATTATTTAAGCAACACTGTTTTTTCCATCCAACAAAAACACGGGGAGATTTATTCAGGGAGGTTGTTGATATGAATTTTAATCTCTAAGATTTAAACGCGTTCTCTGGATTATAATTTAAATAATGTATTTACAAAATATTTATCAACACTTTTTAAGTACATAATTACAAAAGTATTAATCTTACTTCTGTGACCCGTTTCAGATCCTCCTCGGAAGGCTGCTCGTAGCCGTCCTGGTACCAGACGAGCCTCGCGATGAGGAACTGCTGGTTGGTGGTGAGCGCCGGGATGTTCTTCAACCTGTTCTGCTCCAGCAACTTGTCCGGGAGGAACCGCGGTACCAAGTCGTGCTGCAAACATTCCAGCTTCACGTAGGAAACAACCGTCGCGTTAATACTTTGCTTGCTCATTATTATGATAGTACAGAAAGCAAATGTATTCAACGTTTTTAAACTATTTACTAAGTTTTAAAAATTTTGTTTTTCAAACGATTTTTTTAATTGAGCTTTATTTAAGTTAATTTATCTTTGTATAGAAATAAAAGTATTTAATTATTGTAATTTGTAAAGTTGCTTACAATCCTAGCGGCTTCTGGGGGAGGTGGGTCACACTGCATTATGGGTGGCATGTGGTCGTCGACTGTGGTCGTACTGACGGGCAGTTTGTCCTTTTCCCTCTGCGCCTTCTTCTCCTTCCTCTTCATAGCGCATTGCGTCTCCGGCACCACGCACTCGGGCCGCATACCAACCGCCAAACACTTCTTCAACCGGCACTCTTGACATTTGCGTCGCATATACATGTCCATTTCACACGCGTGTCCAAACTTACATATATATACTGCATTTTTGGTAACACTCCGCCTGAAGAATCCTGGAATCGATATTGTATATGTTTATTACACGTTTGAATTCTTTAAAAATATTGGAATGCAGTCGTTGCAAACATTAAAGGTTGTCTGAAAGACGGGGGTCGTTGACATCGCGATACGAGAGGTACGATTAGGTAACGTGATATGACGAGATTGATAATAAAAGCGATACGTATTTATTGTAAGAAATAAAACGATATATAAAATTGCGCGACACAAATGTAACGTCCTGTACGATTCTGTAACAAATTTCAGTATCAGATGAAGGTGTACCACGTTTTATTTGAGCGTAGCATTTTGTTTCTTAATTAATATAGAGGCAGACGGCGGACTTATGAATGTGGTAGAAGAGAGAGGTACGGTACAAGTCTAGACGGTAAGGACTTGTCAGTAAACGGTCAGTAGACGGGCAGCAGACAACCATTGTGACGTAGATCCGTGGCATTTGACTACAATATGCACACGAGCGTCTACAATCACCTCGCTCACAATGACCCATTCCAACTCTCAATTGATAGTACTATACAAGCATATAGAAAACATATTGCAAATATACAACGCTATTGATATATAAAATTATAGTTATTTATATATTACGATCTCCATGAAGGTTCAGATAAAAAAAATATATATGCAATCTACATCCTGCTTTTAGTACATTTGGAATTTGGCTAAGACGGATCATAGAAATGTATTAGTTATGTGAATAATTTTCTGTTTTACTTTTGTTTCTTTCGGTTCCATCTTCAATTTTAACTTACTTTTTTTAGTGAAACAGTTTAGTAAATTTTATCATGTTTTGAAAGCCAAAGATTACTCAACGGATGTTGATAAGTTGTCGTCCCTAAATATTATTTTTTACGATCCTTTTTTTAAATGAAAGTGACCCAATTTAGCTAAAAGCTTTTGAATGACCAAAAGATTAACAAACCTACACGATTTCTTTAAGTGCAGTAAATGCACAAAAAGGCAACCTTAAACGGACATCGTATTCTGTTTACATTTGAATAATAGACGTGGATGAAAAATACTTGCCTAGTGTTACAAAGACTGATCAATATTATTTATTCTAATCATAACTTATTACAACTTTCGTTATTCTAAAATCGTAATGTATATAAGAACTAGTATTGTCTTATCCGACATTCCAAAGACACGAGTTATACAATTGAATAAGGACATAAAATCTAATCACGCGTCTGACAACGAACGTGACGTTACACTGCCCCCAAACGTAACAAATTACCCATTAAAACAAGAATGTTTAATGAATTTACTTTTTTATGTAACATTTCAATCTGAATATACTTTAAGCACGATTTTATTAGTTTGACTTTGAATTACAATAAAACAATAAACTTAGATTGAGCATCTACATTCCCATAGATATTCTCCCTATAATATTATAAATACAACGCAAGCAGCGTCTGTGAGGTTAGCTGTAGAGAAATGTGACATGTGTTAGGTTAGGTTGTAAACGCGCCATGTGTTAGGTTAGGATATCAACGCGTCATGAATAGATTATGATGTCAAGTGTGAGTTTACCTTTGCATCCTTCACAGGTGAGCGCGTTGTAGTGGTAGCCGGAAGCGCGGTCGCCGCACACCAGGCATAGTTCCTCCTGCTGGCGCGGCGCAGGGCCCTTCTTCTGCCGCCGCGCGTCCCCATCCGTACTGCATCCATTGATACTCGACGCTGGAGACAACTCCTCACGACCTGCAACAAAATATACAATACGGTTAGAATAGAAAACACAGAGCTAAGTTGATAAGGTGAAAGAGATATGTTTGATACTTTACAACGTTTTCATAATATGATTTCATCCAACATTCGTACACTAGTTATAGCGATAATATAATATTTACGATGTATGTTGTTTAAGAACATATAACTATAAGAGTAAGTGCATTTAGTATAAATATAAAAGTTCCTTCAACTGTGTAAACACTCAAAGTCCAGTGGCCCAAAGGCGTCGAGTGTCAAAAACATCTAAAATCGGACGCCATAAAATTTGCATACATTTCATGTACCATTAGCTGCGAGGTCGAACGAGCGGGGAAAGATTTTATTTCTCATTTTTACAACCGATCCGACTTGGAAGAGATGTTTTGGTAACGAAATACGGGTAAGTAATTTTCGGCGGCAACGTGGCCGTTTCCTGTCCAAACAAAAGGTGGATAGGGTAGCCGTCCGCATACTAATCAGGCGTGGCACAGTTCGTATGCCGCGCAGGTTCGGGAATAGGGTATGCGATGTGCGATGGAAATTTAATAGGCGCTTGTCAATCACGCAGTCGGAACTCCTTAAAAGGCGAACAGTATTGCAAATGTATTTATAGCTTTTTGGGCACGTGATTTTTTTACCTATTTATATTAAACAGCATTGGCGTGGACGCATACTGATGCTTAAAAAACTTGGACACGATATGCTCTAAATTTAAGGTTATCGATGACATAACGATAAAGGTATAGAAATATTGAAAATAGGTCGTCACGTGGTTTGTCATTATATTTTTTGCAAATTAATAAAGAGAATAGAATGAGGGTGTGATAAATTTGATGTCAATCGAAAATTGTGTTTAGAAATATTAATTCGAACAATTCCTAACGTTGGCTTAGCTCGTACGTTTTTAACGTGGTGTAAATATGTTTTATATGTCTTGAAATGATTAATAGTATTTTTATTTGAGTGTGTGGGGGTCGGTGGCCGTACGTTGCGCAACCGGCCGATTTGAGTGCTGCTAAAAAACTAGTTGGTCGTGAGACCGGCCAGTCGGAGGCCGAGTCATTCGCCAATGCATCATAAACGGTCTCGCCTTTCACGCTAATAAAAACCTGTCCGTGCAACCTGTATATGTATCACTATTCCAACATGCCACAATAATGCTATTAATTATCAAATGTCTCAAATATATCTTAGAAATCGTCTAAAGTCTTTTTTAAAGTCCCACTTTTAATTTAGCCATTATAATTGAAGTCAAAAGAACCCTCTTTCATGTCAACTTACGCCTTTGGACTAATTAAGACAAGAAACAAAATATTCATTAAACTTATAACCAAAACTTATTCAATCTCGTAAATAAAATCAAATGCAATCAGCATTTTGTTAAAAGAAACATACTGTGAATATGTAGAGCACAGATTTGCAACATTGCAAATGATCGTTCCACAAACCACACTTCTTACCTAGCGACCTTATTCGCTACTAGAATTGGCAAGCGTCACCGACTTCTATCGGTCGCGAGATGTCGCTGTGATTTACGTCTCCCGGTGCGAGCCATTTGAACGATAAAAATGCCTCAATAAAGAGGTCAAGTGCGCACTTTTATCCCGGCTTTATTTATGGCGACACTAACATCAAAGTAGTTTTTAAATAAAATGGCCGTGCCAATATGTTTTCAATAAAAACGGAGCACTGAACTGGGTGACCTCGTTCAGTTGCAAGCGTGTACGTATTATTATATAATTATTTCGTATAGCCTGTTATCACATTATTAGACGCTTCTGTTAAAAGTATTTTTTAAGAACTATGGTATATATATATAATAATTATTAAAAATGAATCTCAGGTGTACCTATCAAGAGAACTTTTTGGAACTGTGATTCGAAGACGAACGAGTTGAATAGACTTCAGAGATCTTTGCTTAGTATTATGTTTATTTAAATACATTGCGTGTATTAAATAACATTTTGTGGGTTATTATGGTTAGCTAGCTCGGTCGTGCGGTGAAAGTGTCCGGGATGGCTAGAACTGGTTCCATCGGCGAAGTCGCGGTCGCGCCGCAGTGCCCAGCTTGATAAAGACGCGGAATTTGATACGCGCTTTGCCTATTATGTTCCGCGGTCAATCGTGGGAATGTACGAGAGCTAAACGAGTTTTTGATTTCCTATGCTTTTAATAGTTAAGGCTTTGAGTGTTAGAAAGTAATAATTTTAGTTATGCAAAATGACTATAACTATTTATGTGCCTCATTTCGTTAAATATACTCCTTATTCATCGACAAAGGCTTGCGCATGAGTGCTTGTAAACAGAATTCCGTAACGTTCATAAACAGTGTTCGAAGATCCAATCAATGCTCATGAAAAAGAAAGCCAATCAAAAGTTGAATGCACGAATGACCGAGTCAGTGTGTTATGTTATTACGTGTCAGCTGTTCGTTGTGCTGCGCCCGCGCATAGGAAGGTCTAGTTCGTGCCGCTTCGGCCCCGGTCGGCATCGCTCGGGTGTCAGAGCGAGAGGAGCTGGCAGCGCTCGAGAGCGACAAGTGGGGCGCGAGCGACGACCGGGGGCAGCGTGCGGCCTTGACTCTTACATCTCCTCCCCCTCCGGCCCCGTCCCGCGCTGACACTCCGCTCCCCCTCCGTCCCTCACAGAGACTCCGCTCTCCGCGCCCCGTGCACTCCCCGCGCAACCACATTATTTATGATAGCATCAGAGCTCCGAGCAACCTCGCGATTCTCTATACTAACTAATAATAACTCGTTTTTCCTCTCACGCGATTCAACTTTTACGTTCTTTTAGACTTGCAATGTCTTTTGAAAATAATAACCGTCTGGTTAAAGGTAGATTTTATATTTTTTTGTCTAGTAACGCACCGTTAGACTGTCTGTTGTCTAAACATTTCTTACCTCTTTCAGATCGGGATTATTTTCATTTGTGTTGGGGACAAATTCTTGAATTGAATGCCAAGATGCTATAACACGTTATATAGCGATCGCGTAAAAATTTGTAGAAGGTATTTACTACATAAGCGTGTTCACATAACGTTGATTGCCTGACACTACATAATATGTACCTGTGTCGGACAATCATTCATTTAGGTTAATTAAAACTTAATTTTTACGTTAACTAACATTTTATTTAAATGTTAGCTAACGTAAAAATTAAGTTTTGCTCAATACACACTTAGGTACAAAGTTATTCAATTTAACTTAGCAACTTGTATGTAAAATTGTAAATTAAAACTTGAAAAGTAACTAAATTTTCAATACTTTAAGTTGGAATATCGCTTTCTCAGTAATATTTAAATCTAAGTTAAGTATCGTGGTAATATAAAGCTTTCATTATGCAACTATTTGATGCCGTGTTAAAATAATATTTTTTCTTACTTTCTCATTAAGAATTTCCTACATCTATGAAGTAGGGACTTTTAGGAAACATGACGACATTGACAGTTTGCAGTGATTTGACAAATTTTATATTTGTTTTTACGAAACTCTTATTATGTGTTAAAACTAATTAAAGACATTAGTAAATTTTACAATCGCTCAATATTATTATACTAACTGTCGTAAATTACTCCGTCCGCGCGGAATTAGAAAACTTAATAAGTAGCCTATATGCTCTTCCATGCTATGTTCTACATCTGCGCAAAATTTCATAAAGATCCGTTGGGCCGTTCATTAGATACCTTCAAACAGATTTACATCCATATAAACTTTCGCATTTATATTATTATAAAGATTTTATTAAAGGAATTAACGGAATGACAGTTTGCCAATATTTAAGTGACTAAGGTTTTGGTTAACAGTACATTTATTAAGGAAACAGTGGGTCATACGGCGTCATTCTTCGAAACGATAAAACAATACCTAACCGAAAACTTTCACTGCGACCCCGTGGGCAGGGGCGACGCAATAATTTGCAAGCGGGCCGCGTATAACGCCAGTGAAAGTTGCCCAAAGTTAGGTATTGCACAAGACTTACCAAGCCACATACCGCGTAATTCAAATTCGGCCATGGCGAAAGTAAATGCTGTTTCGTATGTTAAGAAGCTATTAGCCACTGCTTTTTGACTATTGCTTATCCAAGAAACAAGAGAACATCGTTTGGTGTAATAAGGGAGTCCGAATTTGTAGATGAATCAAATGCTTGTCTTAGATTTTAGTATAGCTTTATTTATTTCTTGGAAATACTTACATTTAAATCAACTGTTCTTCATTAATGTGTTCAAATTTAGTTGAATTCATCATTCCGTCATAGGATTTGGTAATATTTTTTTTATTTTGGTACACAAAAAGAAAGGAGTGTGTCTCGTGTTTATTTTTAACATGTCAAGTTTTGTCAATTCTATGCATAATTTTGGCATTATTTCATATTTAACGGGTGGTAAATAATAATCAGATAATACGAATTACAAAACAAACATTTGATATATCTAATAAACAGAAATTAAATGTTTAAATACATAGTTACATTAACTATCTAGTAATAATCATACGGAATCTAGATCAATGATTAACATGTATAATTCTCTGTAGCAAAAACGATCCATTGAAAAAAATCTAAACACGTGATCGATGCATCGCTCGGGTGGATATCGTCTTAGAATATTACTTTCTACGATACTTTCTAGCAAGAGATGTGGGCCGGAGCCGCACAACTGGAGCGATCGGTTTCACCGCGCGCCGGGAAAATTGGATTGAAATAGAAACTCGCGCTCGGTGAAAATCTGATTTTCGCGTCTCACGCAACGCGAAAAATGCTATGACGTTTGTCACCTTACACTAAGTTAACTAAACTAACTGAAACATACCGCATAGATCCGGATGCAGCACGTGTTTACGTCCGCACTAGCTTAGGAACGCATCCGGTGCAACGAACACATGGCCGAATTCTTAGTTTAAAACAAACACTGCAAGATTACAGCTTCAAGGAATATGCGTCTTAGATAGATTGATATTTTACTAACTAAAGTTTACTGTCAAACATTGTAT